GGGGCGAGGCAGGTGTGCGGCCTAGGCACTCTAGCAGCCTCTTCCCTGCCTCCCTGAGGCTACCGGAGCCCCTCCTCCCCCTCCTCCCACCCCAACTGTGGGCCTGACTCCTTAGGAACCTGTCTACCCTCCAGCCAGGGAGGGAGGAGAGCAAGGACACCCAGCTTACGGGTGGGGAAACGGAAGCAGAGAGAGCAGGCCGGTCAGCCCCTGCCACTGGGCTGTGGAGCTGTGTCTATGGGGATGGCCTCCGCCTGCTCTCAGGCCTCCTGAGGGGCCGCCCTATAGGGGCCCCAGAAATACCTCCCCAGGCTGTGAGGTTTGGGGGGGCACCCACTGGGTGACAGGGCGGGGAGTGGTGGGGACAGGCTTTCACACTTCTCTGGTGACTGCAGACACTCTGGGCAGGTGCAGGCCTGAAAGAAGCTTAAGTGGCTCAGGAGCCCTAAGCCCCGGGATCGCCCTTGACCCTCCAGTGCCCTGGTTACTGTGTGCCTGCCTGGAGCACCCATGTGGTTGGTGGCCTGCACTGGGACAGGCCCCTTCCTGGGCCTCAGTCTCCCCACTATAAACCAGGGTTTTCACACATCTTTTCACAGTGGAATCCCGGCAGGCCTGGGAGCGTGTGTAGTGGTTTACAGGTGCCCGACCCTGGAAACTTGTCCTAGTTTCCTGTTTCCTGATTAGAGAACGGATCCCTGCTTAGCGTAGTGACCCCACACAGCACCCAGAGAGGTTGAGAGGCAGGAACCCAGGACCTGCAACCCAGAAGCGGGGATGGAGCAGCCGGTCAGGCCACCTCCCTCCTGTGCGGGATCCCATCAGGAATCCACCACCTGCCCTGGCTCTGCAGTGACACAGGGACGCTGGGGCTATGTCCCCGCACTGTCTCTGTGACCGTGGGCGGCAGCCGGATGTCACCTGGGGCGACACAGCCATCTCCCTCCTGAGAGCCCAGGCAAGCCCGCGTGTGCAGGCAGCTGGCCCGGGAGGACAACACTGGGCCCTGGCAGGGGCTCACCTGCGGGAGGGTACAGGTGTGGCCGTCCCTTGGGGTTGCTGGGGGCCAGTGCATGGGCGGCACTGAATGGCCTGGCAGAAAGCATCGTGGTGGGTCAGTTCCTTTCTCCCCACACACTCAGCTCACGGAGCTACAAGCTCAGGTTACTTTACTGAAAATTGCTTTTAATTAAAAGGAGAAGAAGCCAAGCCCGTGAGGCCACACGGCTTCCCTGACTCTCACCATGTTCAATGGAACTTTCCAGGCTTGGTCCATTGTGAGAGGATTTTAGGATGAAAATCTCATGTTTCTATTGAGTAGAAGAAAAAAAAAAGTCAGGAATATTTAAAGAAAAACAAAAAGCAGTTTATACTTGGGCAGTTACTATCGGATCTGAGAGAAACACAGCATGAGGCCCTCCTGCTGCAGCCCAGGCACAGCCCCCTCCAGCCCCCCAACCTCCTGCCCCCGAGAACACACCGGTCACTGCCCGGCCTGAGGAGGCTTCCTGGGGCAGCCCTTCGGGAGGAGGGGACGCCTGAGGTGGCCCTTCACCCCCGTCCACATCTCTGCAGGACACGTTGGCCCATCTTCCAGAGCAGAACACTGAGACTCGGGCCCTGGATCCCCGCCCTCCCCGGTTCCTTCCTCCCCCAGGCATTGCAGCATGCCACCTGCATCCAGCCTCAAGCTGAGCCGAGGAGCAGGTGAGGGGCCAGACCTCTGATGCAGGGAGGCCAAGGCTTCAGTCGGTTCCTCACACATCCGTGCTGGGCTCCCCTTGCCTCTCCCACGACTTCCTTCCGGGCCTCCTTCCTGGCGTCTTCCCCTTGCAAAGTGGAGGCATAGTCCTCTCAGTGGCAGACACACATGGGCTGTGAGGTCACACACACATGCTGAGCACGGCTTTGTAGGGGCAGGTAAACAAGGAGGGCTTCCTGGAGGAGGTGGCTAAGGCCTGAGGGCAGAGAGACTGCAGCTGGGCATAGTCTGGGCACTACTCCCAGTCTGGGCCAGGACATGGAGAGCCAGGGCAGGCTGCTGGGGCCTGTGGGGGACTGTGGGGCCCTCCTCGGTGGTCAGTTCCACACTGATGGTGTCCCAGTCTCTGTGATGTCAGGAGGATTGCCAGAACCTTCTCTATGAGAGATTAGAACATTGAGGCCCTGGGCTGGGGGGCAGGGGCTGTCAGGGCAATGGTTCCTGCCGTGGATGGGGTCCAGCTGTCAGGCAGGGGTAGTCCAGGCAGTTGGTAGTCTCTGGTGGGCCAAGTGGCTCCCCCTTGGGGCCTCAGTGTCGCCCCTGCCCCAGGCAGTGCTGCTGGGCTGGCCCAGAGACTCCAGGCGGGGCAGTCCAGCGGAGGTGGAAGCACCTGAGAACTGACTCCAGCCCATCTGGCGGCCCTAGGCTGGGCTTTGCAGCAGGTGGGCCTTCGGAGCCACAACAAGGGACAGGGCTTCCCCCGGGATGTGGCCGGGACCTGGGGCCGGCCCTGCTGCCTCCCGGTCGCGACAGGCCAGGGCCCCGTACCTCAACACCCATAGCTTGCGGGCCAGACGTGTGGCCTCGGGAAGCACATGCTGCCCGACCTTGACACGGCATCACCAGCCGGCCATGCCCACCCTGCCTCCACCCCAAATCCAAGCCATGACACCCTGACCCCATACCTCACGGCACAGAGGGGGTTGTTGGTTGTGTAAAGATTTTATTTATTTATTTGACAGAGAGAGCGAGAGAGAGCACAAGCAAAGGGAGAGGGAGGAGTGGGAGCTCCATGTGGGACTTGATCCCAGGACCCTGAGATCATGATCTGAGCCTGAGGCAGACGCTTCACGATGGAGCCCCAGGCACCCCTAGAACACACCATTTTGGGAGACAGCATCCTTCAGAGGTAACCTAGTCATGGTGAGGTCCAGCAGGCTGATGCTGACCCAGTGAGACCTGTGTCCCTGTAAAGCAGGTAAATGTGGGCACAGAGACAGTGTGCGGGAACAGGCAGGGTAAGAAGTTTGCAATGGGGGCGACTGGACAGCTCGGGCACCTTCCCAGCAGAATGGAAGGTGGCTCTGCAGACACCTACGTTCGGATGTCATGCCTGCCTCCAGCAGCCCTCTAGGTGGCCAGGCTCCCACCAGCACTGCAGGCTCCCCATGGCCTGAGCCACAGTCCCACTCCCCTCCTAGCTCAGGGTGCAAGTCCTGTAGGGGAGTGGGCCGCAGGCCCCCAGCACGGTGTGGAATGCGTGGGCTCACCCAGCCCTCTCAGTGTGGCTGATAGGGGACACCTGTATGGCCCAGTGGCTCCAAGAAACCCACCATGTGTGGTCCGTGGGGCTGAGGAGGATCAGAGCTCATGGGGTGAAAGCAACTCTCTCCCACGTGTTCTACTGGGGAGGGCTGCTCTGCTGAAACAGCACTCGGGGGTCCCAGAACACTCACCTCTTTGCTGCCCCCTGCCAGGCAGCAGAGCCGGTTGTGTCCACCTGGGCCCCTTTCCCAGACTTCCTGAGCCAGCCGACTTCTGGCTGTCCCTCAACCTTCCAAAATAGTCCAACCTCAGGACCTTTGCATCTGCTGTTCTTGCCAAGGATGCTTCTCCCTGCTCAGGAGCGGCCCTGAGCCACCCAGAGCCGCTCAGCTCTGGTGTCAATGGTAGGAGAGCCCCTGGGCGGTTACCAGGGCAGGGTGCTGCGCCGGGGCTGGGCGGGGTCGTAGCGAGAGGAAGGGGCGCACCGCAGCCAGGTGCCACGACCCATGGGAGTTGGGCTGCAGGGGCGAGCCGGGGAGGGCGGGTCCCCCGGATGCGTAGGCGGGGGCCCGCCAGAGCCCAGAGGTCTGCGTGCGCCCCCAGCTCGCGGGGGTCCTTGGTGAAGACGCACAACATGGCCCCCAGCTGGGGGGGGGGCCCAGGTGACACAGATGCGCCCCTGTGCCGCTCACGGGGGACACCTGCCCCGGGGACCAGGGTGTTGGGGGGCGGGAGCCAGGGGCACAGCCCGTGTGGGGCGCTGGACCGAGACTTCCCGCGCCGCCAGCTGGGCCCCCGGCCTTGGGGCTCCGGAGGGGCCGGCCCCGCCTCCAGACCCACGGAGGCGTGTCCAGGGCTGCCCCGCCCCCCGGGCTCCTGCCCCGCCCCTCGGGCTCCTGCCCCGCAGTCCCCGCCGAGACCGCCCAGCGCCGGGATGCCCGGGGCGGCCGCGACCCCTCGCCGCAGGGCGAGGCCCGGGGACCGCTCGGAGGACGCCGAGCCCGCCCCAGGGAACCGCACAGGTGAGCGCCGGGGCTGCGGGCCGCCAGCAGGGCTCTGCACCCATTTCACCGACGGGGAGGCTCAGAAGCTGGCGGCCCTGCGCGGGCGGGGAGCGGGGGCGCTCCGCTGGAGATGGCCCGGGAGGGCACGGCGGGGGGGCAGGGGCGCACTACCACGTCCGGGACCGCCCGACACCCCCTGAGGACAAGCCTCCCCGACCCTTCCACCGCCCCAGCGAAGCCGAAGCCGGGCTGCAGGCGGCTCGAAACCAGGCGGCGGCGTGCAGCCGCCCAGGTGCGCGCCCTCACCCGGTTCTGCCGGCCGCCCCACTCGGTGCAGGGAGGTCGGTGCGGCGGCCGCGGGAAGCCGGCCTCCCACCCCCACTTCCCAGGTGGGGAAACTGAGCCTGCAGCGGAGTGACCGCCCAGGTCCCGGGGTCGCGGGCCGGGGTGAAGTCCGAGGTCCCCGCAGGGAGGGAGGGCTGGCGTTCGCAGACGTGGTGATTGATTTCAAGAGTGTTCTGAGGGCTGGCGGTGGTGTCGTGGGGGCGGGGGGTGGGGGGAGGGTGAAGGAAACCCCTCCCGCACCCGGGTTTGAAGGCCGGCCTTGCTGCCTGAGTGCCCGCGAAGTCCAACCCTGGAGCTCCAGGGCCTCACCTTTGGGGGCGACGCCCCTCCTCCTGAGCCGCAGGGTCTCTGCATACCTGTGCCCCAGGCCAGGTGCAAGACTGGCTCCTCGCACCGTGGGGGCTGGGCCTGCAGGAGCAGCTGGTCCTGGTCACACCCCGCTCAGGCTCACTGAGGCTGCCATTCACGGGAGAAGGAGCTACTGGTGGCAGCTCCTTCTCCCGTGAGTAACTGAGGCAAGGAGTAAGTTGTCAGCACAGCAGAGGACTCAACCGCGGGAAGCAGCCCAGGTGAGGTGGGCTTGTTTCCTTTGACTCCCTCCTACCCCACCCCAGCCCAGCCCTCCCTTTCCCCACCCTTCCCGAATTTGGTGCTTGGCCTTTGTTCTTGAAGACCCTGTGGCTTGGTTGCAGCACTGCCTGGGGAGCTGGGTGTTGACCAAGAGGACCGACTGGACTTGCACCATAGGCCCGGGGACCGGGAAGGGGAGAGGCCCTCAAGTACCTGTTTGCAAGACTTTGCTGAGACCTCGGGGTGGGGAGGGGCCGCAGAGGCCAGTCCCGTGGGTTACATCCCTGCTTCTGATCCGCCACAGCTCAGCCTCTTCCCAGCCCGCAAGCTCTGCCCCAGCGCTTGGGGTTGGAAGCCCCCTGACCTGGGATGTGTCTGTCTCTGGCCCCAGTATCGCCACATGCTGGGCGCTGGGCTATGTATACCTCCCCCCAGGTTTGGGGACAGGCGCTGGAGCCCGGGGGGCGTGTGCGGTGACCCTGCCATGCCGTTCAGCCCCAGGGTCACACAGTCATCCAGCCTCCACCCTTCCCCTGGCACCATCTCTTGAGCTGTGAAGTGGGTGCCTGCTCGTCCCTGTGGGGCTGTGAAGTGTGGGGTCCTGTGCAGGCATCTGGCACTCCTTCACATATGGGGGGGGCGGGGAGGAGGGGGAATGTCCTGCAGCCGTAAAATGGACACGTTGCTCTGCTCTTCTGAGAGTGGGTGTGACAGTCCAGCTGTGAGGACACGGCATCCTGTGACCCACGGTGCTCCCTTATTGCCCTTGTGTGGCTGGTGGAGGGGCAGGGGCGGGGGGCTGGCTCAGAGCAGGGGTTTGAATGTTTGTTGAGTGGCTGCTGGATGTCCGGCCAGCCAGGGAGGCCTTCTTCCACCGCCTTCAGGGCCCCGTCGGCTCTGGCCCCCGTCCCAGGGCAGCTGCAGCAACTCCCTGATGGGGCAGATTGTGTGGGAACGTGGCCCTGCAGGAGGGACACAGGGTTCCAGCAGCCAGAGGTGACCCCCACCACGCGGTTCTGGATGGCCTGACAGAGGGGCCTGGGAAGAGGGCCGCGGCAGGGGGTGGAGGGCAGCCAGCAAGGGCAGGCCTGGGCGTCACTCCTACAGCCCTTCGTGGAGGGAGACCAGGCTCAGGGGAGCCGTGGGAATCCACGTGGCTGTGTTCCCCCGAGGCCAGTGGGGCCTACTGCCAGGTGCGGGCAGAGCCTCAGTGTTCTCCCCTGGGAGGGGGCGTGCTCTCCTGGGCTGTGCTCTGGATGGCACTGTGTGGTCTGTGGGGGAGAGCCGACCTGCCAGCTGCCAGGGCAGCGCCCCAGTGCCCCAGGTCCAGGCCTGCCCTCCACAGGGACGGGAGACACACTGCCAGGGGGCTGGTGTCTTGCCTAGAGACACACAGCCAGGCTGTGGGCCTCCCACATATGGCTGCTCCCCCTTGCTGGGTCTTGGAGTCTCACCCTCCATGGAACACCTGCACATGTACAGATTACCCTTTTAAATTCTCTCTTTGGTTTCCCTTGCCATTAGGGGAAACAAGCCCAGAGCAAGAAGCGGGTCCCCCGTGGTTCAATGGGCTGCCTCCCCCATCTCCCGAGTTCCTTTGCCAGAAGGGGAAGATAACTTATTTACCTGGGTCCTGGGGCTGAGGTCAGGGATTGAGGTCAGCATGGGCTTCAGGGAGGAGGGTGGGAGGGGCCGGCCTGTGGTCCAAGGTTCCAGATAAAAGATTAACAAGTGAGGCCTGATCTTCACACCACGAGCCATGCGGGCTGGGCTGAGCAAGCACCTGGTGGGGCCCTGCATGGACGGGGGGGGGGGGGGGGGGGGGGGGGGGGGGTATGGGCATTAGAGAGCGCCTCTGCCCATCACCGTCCAGGGAGCCCACAGGGTTGGGTTGGGGGTTGGTGTTGTCTTTGTGTCAAATCCATTTGCTGCGTTTTTCCTGTTGTTTTTCCTCCTCTAAGGTATATTTGGGCAAAAAAGAGACAAGGACAGGTGTCATGAAGGGCCTGAGGAAGATGTAGCCAAGGCTGAGGGGTGCGTTTGGCCAGCCCGAGGAAGGGCTCGGGGTGACCCCTCAGGAATCTGCCCCAGCAGCCCTTTGGCACAGTACTGCCTCCCTGCCCGGTCCTGGCTGTGCCTCAAGTCCCGTGGAAAGGTCTTGGGTGGACATGTGTCTGGAAAACGGGCTCAGCCCAGAGAAGTGTTCGCCAGCCTGCAAGGGGTACAGGAGACCCTATCAGCCCCGGAGTGGGAGGTGTGCGGGTGGAGGGGTTGGGGGCCCTGCTGGGAAGTGCTGCCAGGAGGGGCTGCTGCTGAGCTGCAAGCACGGCTCTCAGGTCTCCATGGGGTGGTCCTCCCTTCTTGTGACCCTGGGGGCCAGTCACACCTCACAGATGGGGACATGGAGTCTGCGCAAAGGGGGTACCAGCATCTGGGGACCCAGTGGGCAGGGCCTGGGGCTGGGGGGCTATCCCTGAAGAGCAAGTATGACCTCCCGTGTCAGTTCATGGGCCCTGGGAGAAGGGTCCTGAGCCCCCAGCCTCTGCAGGGGTTTGTTCCTCAGGCCTGTGTCTTCAGGTGCCTCTACAGGGCTGCATTGCCCCCAGCTGAGTCTCTTGGGAACCCTGCAGCCCCCGCCCCATGTGTCCACTGGTTGAGCTCCACATCTGCTTCCTTGTCCTGTGAAGGGGGTGCATGCACTGTGGAGGAGGGTCTGGGGGCAGCGCAGCCCCGTCTCTGCCCCCTACTCGCATACCTGTAGGGCTCTGAGCACTTGGGGAGGAGCACACCCCCCCCAGGGTGGTGAAACCCAGGAGGGGTGCCCTGGCCACCAGAAGTGATGGCCGTACAGGATGTGACTGTTGACAGCGGGGCCTCTCCCCACCCAAGGCACAGGCTGGAGTGCTGTCTGACGTGGAAGGGGTGTGTCCCCCCCCCCAGGCTACAATCTGGGGTAGACCCTCACCCAGCCCCCGCCACACCCACAGGCAGGTCTCAGGCCCAGAGCCATGGGGTGATGGTCCCCCAGCTGGGGGGGGGGTGCAGAGCCGGCAGGCAGAATACCAGGAGTTGGGCTGGGCTCGGGGGTTGGGGGCAGAGTGCACCCCCCACTCCATGCAGCCGAGGCGCCTACGGGGGCTAGCTCCCTGACTCTTTAGTTCCTTGGGATAAACCCGCAGAGCAGAGGGACTGAGCGCTAGCCTCCCAGCTTGGCCCCATTCCCTGTCCTCTGAGCACCTGCTCCATCCCTGGGGCACTGGAGCCTCCTAGGAGGTTCTAGAAGGTTCTATTTGTGCAGACCCTGCCCAGGGCTGGTGTGGGGCTGAGGAGAGTGTGGTGAGCACACCTCATCCTGGATTCAGCCTCTCCATGGGTGACCTCCCCTCCCCTCACGTCCTCCCTCTCCTTCCCCACCCCCTGTCCCAGGCAGGGCTGAGAGAAGCTGCTTAGCCTCAGCAGAATGCAGAAGTAGCAGCTCTAAATCAGGACCAGGAAGTGTTGGCTGCTCAGTGACCCTGGGAAAGGGCCACGTGGCCAGCCTGTGGCCGCCATGGCCATCTACCTGGCTCCAGTCTCCTGCCTACCTCCTGGCTGACAGGACAGCACTTGAATCTGGGCTGACGGGTCCTGGTGGGGGTGCTGATCCCAGCTCTGGTCTGTCCAGGGCACCCTTCCATCCATCATGTACATTCACTCCTTGGGCGCCTGCAGAAGCAGAGCCTGCTTAGTTACCGCCCAGAGCCTGGGGTCAGTGTCCACATCCACGGGGAAGGCCAGGCCTGCTGCCCAAGCAGAGGCGTCCAGGTCGGGGCACGCGCCAACACCCTGCGCCCATTCCCCTCATGCCTCCCCCTCTCCCCGCCGTGGGTAGTCTTTTTAACATGACCAAGGGAACAAGCCAGAGACTACACTTCATGTTTAAAATTTGCATTTCTTTGATTGACAGTGTTTTCCTGAAATGTGTTAGGAGCTTTATTGAGATGTGATTCATAGACCGTACGATTCACGCCCTTTAAGAGTACAGTTAACGCGTGCAGATCGTGCAGCTGCCACCACAGCCACTTCGCACATTTTCATCACCCCCAGAAGAAGCCGTGCACTTAGCAGCCCCTTTGCCCCCGTGGGTGAGGACTTGCCTCTTTGGGCATTTCAGACAAATGCAGTCAGACACCGTGAGGTTGTGTATGGGCTCCAGACCTTGAGCATTGGTCCTCACCAGGCTCAGCCACACCGCTGGCCATTCCACTGCTTCTGTCCCCTGAGATCCGTGCATGGCTCTGACCACGGCCACGTCCCCATCCCTCCATCAGCAGGCAGCATGGTGGCTCCTACTTTTCAGCAGCTGTGAATAACGCGGCTGTGGATGCAGGTCCCATAGCTGCGTTCCCGTGGGCAGCATGGGACTGTGGGTCCCCACCCCCACCCGGAACACCTGTCACCTTCTGACTGTCTCACGTCCGGGCGCTGCTGGATGGGAAGCTGCACCAACCTGACGATCTGAGTAGCGTTTTCCTGAAGGCAACGGATATTGCGCATTTTTTCATGCGTTTATTGGCAGCCATTGGTTTATCTCTAGAGAAACATCCCTCCGGATCCTTGGCCCATTCTTAAATTCTATAATTCAGTCTATAATTCATGCATTTTAAACCCGAGTCCCTGACCGGCAGTGTGACTGGCAGATGTTCTCTCACACCTGTAGCTCGTCTCTTCACTTTCTTGATCATGTCCTTTGAAACACAAGTGTTTTTAGTTTTAACCAAGTCCCGTTTCCCTATGTTTTCCTTTCCTTGTGCGTCTTCTGGGGTCACGTCGGAGACACTGATGTCTAATCCGAGGGTGAAAGAGGCCTCCGCTCTGCTTTCTTCCAGGACTTTGGTGGATTTCGCTCCAGGCCTGTGGCTTCTTCACATGGGTTGTGGTGTTGGGGGCGCCACGGCTGTGCCTCAATTCAGGACTTTGACCTCTGCTGCCAGTGTCTTAGTGTTTTCACGGTTTAACTTTTGCCCGGCCTTTCATTCCATTTCTCCTCTGTAAGTGTCCCCTGGATGCCCCCAGCCGGGGTTTGTGATCACTTCACCTCCGGAGTACTGGCCTCCGGAGTACAGGCCACCTGTTCCTGCTGAAACAGGACGGATTTCGGTGTGCCCATCCTGCCTCCGGCAGCCTGGCTGGACTTCTTACTAGTTTCCGCAGGTTTTTTTCTGAATTCCTGGGTATTTTCTAGATCCGAGCTCAGGTCATTGGATGGAGAAGTCTTCTTCCTTGATGACATCAACACCTTTTCATTTTCTTTCTTTCTTTTTTTTTTAATAAAGATTTTATTTATTCACTCATGGGAGACAGAGAGACAGAAGTAGAGACACAGGCAGAGGGAGAAGCAGGCTCTTCACAGGGAGCCTGATGTGGGATCGATCCTGGAACCCCGGGATCACGCCCTGAGCCAAAGATAGATGCCCAACCGCTAAGCCACCCAGGCATCCCATTTTCATTTTCTTTTTTTTTTTTAATTTTTATTTATTTATGATAGTCACAGAGAGAGAGAGAGGCAGAGACACAGGCAGAGGGAGAAGCAGGCTCCATGCACCGGGAGCCCAATGTGGGATTTGATCCCGGGTCTCCAGGATCGCGCCCTGGGCCAAAGGCAGGCGCCAAACCGCTGCGCCACCCAGGGATCCATCATTTTCATTTTCTTAACTGGTTGCCCTGCCCCTGGATTCTGAGATACTTGAGGTTTTTTTTCTGATTTACTTGTAACTTTTCTGTTGTGATTCTGACACCATCTTGTTAATATGTGAGTGCTGTCTACAGGGGAGATGCCTCTGCTCGTCTACTACCTTACTTTCCTCTGGGCCATCCCTGGGGTACTTGTGAGCATGGCCTGAGGCTAGGACTGAAGGTCCTTCTTGACCAGAACCTTCTATCGGAGCTGCCGTGCTGTTGGTGGTGGTGACGCTGGTGACGGATGCCTGCTCACGGGGAAGCCTAGCACTGTCCACCCTCACTGGTACCTGCGGTGTGGCGTTGGCCCTGCTGTGCCTTGGTGTCTCCACCTGTGAGGAAGTGACAGACACCTGCTCAGGGGGTGGTCCCCCAGCAAAGCACCGGAAGGTGCCCAGCGTCACCCGAGGTGACCCAGGGTCAGCCCCCAGTTAAGTGCACAGAGCCTAAGGGCGCCCGGCTCACGATCTCCCCACATTTCAGCCTGTGAGGCCCTATCCGGGCTCTCATGGGGCAGAGAGCACCCACTGTGCATGGTGGGTGTCAGGTCCACGGCTCCCGCTGCTTCCTGGTGCGGGCCTGGCTGTGCCCCTCAGGGCCAACTTCAGGGCCCTGGCCCCTCCATTAGCTCACTCTGACGGCTACACGGGCATGGCAAGGCTAGGGATGGGCTGGCCATGCGCGGATGTGGGAAGCCCAGTGCCACTTGCATGCATATGGCCTGGGGGTAGATTTTAGAAGCAGAGCCCATGGGGTTTGCTGGTGAATTGGCCGTGGGTTGAGAACGGCCAGTTTTGGGGCGGGAGCAGGTGGCGGAGGGAGGCCTGGAATGGATGTCCATACGCCCACGAGGAAGGCCAGAACTGCAAGCGGGGCGTGGGGGCACGTGGCCAGGTCCCGTCGGCCATGGGGGCAGCAGAACCGCATGCCTAGCGGCTCCCGGGCCTTATCCTGAACAGAGAGGCTGCCCTCGGGGGCACATGGCTGTGTGCGTGTCTGTGTGCACACGTATGTGTTGAGAAGCAGGCCAGGGCCGCCCTGCCTGGGGCCATATCCCTGCTCCATGATCTCGGGATGTGGGTCGGCCTCCCCGCACCTCAGGGTGCTGACCTGTGGGGGTGAGAATGGCGGCCCCCAGGCAGGCACTGTGCAGGTTAACGCGTGTACGACGTGCATTCTGCATCCGGCACGCAGCAAGTTCCACGCAAGTGCCAGCCGTGTCATTATGCATTGCCACTTTGCTCAGGCTGTCTCTCTGCACTCTCATGTTAGGATGGCACAGCTGAGCTTGGTTGTCGGGATGTGCCTGATGCCCCCACCTCCGCAGCTGGGCATGCTCGCCAGTTCCAGCCTGTGCCCTTCCATGCACTCGGGAGCACATCCTACTGTACGAATCCCAGCTTCAGACGCCCAATCATTTCCTTTGCCTAAATTTCCGGGTGATCTGGGAGAGGTTGGGATCCGCATGCCTCCAGCAGATTTGCCGGGTGGCATTCACAGCCTCGTGACCTTCACTTGGGGTCCTTTCCTCTTACTTTTGGTGCGTGAGGCCTAAGAACCAGCTCCCCCGACGCTGTCAGGACAGGTGTCTTTTCCTGCCCCTCGGCTCCTTGCATTTCATCTGCGAAGCGCTGGATCCCCATTGGCTCCTTCCCATAGGATGATGTGTCGGGTCTCGAGAGGTGATGGGACTGAACCTTCGTCCCGTGTTCTCCAAGCACCTTTTCCTAATTGCATCTCCGTTACTGAGAACAAGGGAAGTTCTCCGGTTCACGCTTCACGCCATCCACGTGTCCCTTCTTTTACCCTCGATTCTTTCTTTGGAGCTATACTTGGACGCTCATTATGTGCAGCAGGCCCTCGAGCCTCAAAGGCGCTGGGTGTGGACCTCTGCCGCTGGCATGCAGGTGTCACCCAGACTCCCCTGCGGCTTTACCACATGGATGGTCAGTGGGCAGGCGGACCCAGAGGAAAGCAAGTGTCATTGAGAATGTCGCGAGTAAGAGAAAACACGCCGGCAGTCGTCCTGTGAAAGGTCCAGGGTATGCGCACCCGAGCCATTCAAACCCATTTTGTTCAGGGTCACCTGAATCTCCTGTTGTCCTCGGAACCTGCGGAGTTTCGCTCACAGGACCGTCCGCTCCATGTTCACCCCGGGCTTACCTGACCATCCCCTCTATGTTCACCCCCGGGCCCACGCCCACGGGGGCATCCACTCTGTATTCACCCCCAGGCTCAGCTGGCCATCCACTCCATGTTCACCCTGGGCCTGGCTGGATGACTGTCACGCCTGATGGGCTAGCAACTTGTCCAGAGTCCTGTGGCTGCTGGGGCAGCGGTGCCTATTCTAGGCAGGGCCCTGCCCACCATCCAGCCTCCGGGGTGGAGTCCTCATGCCACGCCACCTCTGCTCTCTTCTTCCACAGGAACATGCACGCACATGCAGCCACCCCCGCAGGGCACCCTCCAGGTTGTCCGTGGCAACGGCACCTCTGTGGGGACTGTGATCGTGTTCCACTGCCCCTCAGGCCACCAGATGGTCGGGTCTGGCCTCCTCACCTGCGCCTGGAAGGGAAACATCGCCGAGTGGTCTTCAGTGACCCCCGTGTGCAAATGTGAGGTCCGGTCCCCCGACCCGCCCCTGGCTCAGCACCTGTGGGGTTGGGGGGCTGATCCATGGAGAGTGTACAGTGGGTGTGGTGACCGTTGGGCCTCATGCAGGGTCCCCACCCTGGTGCTGGCAGTTGGACAGCCTCCTGCCGTGTGTGCATGTGCCCCCCAGGCCCAGCACCTGCAGCTTGGTTACCTGGGTCCTCTGGACTAGCACTGTGTCACCCTCGAAGCAGGCAGCTACATTTGTTCATTTGTTCATTCTCTCATGCATGCACGTGGCAGCCCCAGATAGGGCCCAGCATGTGCCACCCATCCTAGACCTGGGGCTGCTGAGGGCCAGGATGCTCCCCATCGGGGGGAAGAGATGGCTTTCTGGCTTCCAGTTGTGTTTCACATGGGGCATTAGAGGATAACATGCAGTACAGATCCTTCACAGGCAGTCAGTATTGTGTTGACGCGTGTGCCCGGAAGAGGCTCCATAGCCAACACAGCCGCAATCATGCTGGGCTGACAGGCTGTGGTACTTCTCAGAGCCTTTAACCTGATCGTGGACCGGGGGAACCTCAGAAGAAGGGTACCAGTCAGGACCAGGCTCTAGGAGACAGGAAACCCAAGATATTGGGGCTCACTGAGATGGCACGTTCTCGTGCCCGTGGCCCTCAGCAAGGGCATCTCGTAGGGTACCCCCGTGATGGCTCTGGGGCACGGCCCCGGATGACGGCACCTGGTTGGGCCAGTCCGGGCAAGGACAGCCCTCAGAGGTGTCCACGCCCTCCTCTGGCCAGAACATGGACGTGCAGCTGCATGGAGCCCAGGGAGGCCCCCAGCCTGGGTGGCCGTGTTCAGGCAGGACCAGGCTGGGTGCGAGTGGTGTCCCCCATGGGCACAGTGTGCAGTGTTGTGAGCGTACCTGGGCCTCGTCTTCCCAGAACGCCCTTAGGACCCAAGAAGTGGCAAAGGTCCTTTGACTCCAAACACAGGTGTTTTCTTATTGAATGACCTGAGAAAGCGCCTGGGGCCCTGAAGGGTTGGGGGGGAGGCCGAGGGCTGTGTGCCAGCACCAGAGCCCAGGCTGCAGTGTGGGGACCAGAGCACCGCACTCCCCTCTCCATTAGAGCCGTTCCCAGTGTGCCGCTGCAAGCTCCTACATACCCTCCAGAACCCTGCCTGGCACCCTGATCTTACAGGCAGGGATCCCTGATAGCACCCCCACACACAGCAGTTAGCACAGAATGTTGCCCTCCCCACCCTCCCTGAGGGAACGGGCTGGCCCAGGGCCCAGGCGAGCCCCACGCAGGAGATGGCCCGGTGTCCCTTGCAGCCGTGCCGCCCTACGAGACCTTCGGCTTCAAGGTGGCCGTGATCGCCTCCATTGTCAGCTGCGCCATCATCCTGCTCATGTCCATGGCCTTCCTCACCTGCTGCCTCCTGCGGTGCATGAAGAGGAATGAGTCGCCACCTGACAGGTATGCTGGTCCCACCGTCCGAGCTGGGGCCTCCTCCGGGCGTACGGGGTCGGGGGCTGCCCTGGCCCCTCAGGAACCCAGGACTCGGCCTGCGCCCCGCCATGCCGGGTGAGCCGGACTGCCCAGCGGTGCTGCGCTTTCACTGTCTTCACCATAAACGTAGCTTTTCCTGCGTGTTTTCACTGCAGAACATTCACAGTGTCCGAGTTGCCCTGCTAACCCGACCCATCCTACAGCTTCCCGCCTCGCAGACATGTTGGCATCCTGAGCATCCTTCCCCGTCTCTCCCCAGGGCAACCCAGCTGTGGCTCCAGCTGAGGGCCGGGGACCTGGAGACAGTGCCCGCTGCCTACCTCGACCTCAGGGGTCTGAACAGCGGCGGCGGCAGCGGCGGTGGCGGGGAGCCCAGGGGCTGGCCTGGCCAGGCGCACGACAACTACAGTTTTACCACGTGGGCATGGGCGCGGCATGGGGGGTGTCGGGCAGGGGCAGGGGGCCCAGATCGGTCAGGGCACCACCACCCCAGGCTCACCTGGGCCTCAACTCCCACTCTCTGGGCTGGTGGCAGGCGGTCCTTGGGTCCAGGGTCCAGACCCCGCAGCTGAGCGCCCAGGGCCACTGCCACCGCATGCCTTTATCTGGGGAAGTCAGACCCGAGGGGAAGCGAGCTCCCTTTCCCAGGACACAGTACGCTCCCTGTCGCTGCCTCCTCTGGCCAGAATCTGCCTCCTCGCGTGATTCCCGCACGCACATGCTTCCCAAACTGTTACAAGGACATCCTCGTATGTTCCTCTGACTCAAGGAGTCTGGTCCGGGCAGTGCGTGGCTTGGTGTCACCAGCTTTGAGCATGTGCCCTCTGACCCTGATGACTAATGGTAGCAGCGGCTGGGTCTCCCAGTGCTGTTAATCTGGCAGCATGGCCTGTTGGTCTGGGCCTGTGGACCCACAGAGACTGTCCCCATGAGGTGCCTGTGGAGACGTGGGTGTAGGTCACAGACTGGGGTGGGGGTAGGGTCTCCGTGAGGCAGGTCCAGGTCAGGTGACGAAAAAGGGACCCTGTGAGGGAGGGGCCACTCTGCTGCCCCACGACCCAGGCCTCAGGGTCTGGGGGTCACCCTGCCATGCCCTGTGGTTCACAGAACCTGATGTCAGGTTGTGCTGCGTGCAGGTCAGTCACTGCCCGCCCTGAGGAGCAAGGGTGGGCTCTGCGGATTTTACTCCTTTTCTGTTTGTGTTGTTTGCACGTCACTCGGAACTCCTTCCTAAAACTTTGTTTTGGAGAAATGTCATGAATACCCAGAAGCAGAGGGACCAGTGTGATGGGTCCCTGGCCCTACCCACCAGGCTCACAGTCTCTGTCTGCTGACCCCAGTCCTTCCCTGGTGGGAACCGCACCCACTTCCACTCCCACGAGGTGCTCTGGGCCACCCTGTGCCCCTCCTGCCATGGCCTGGAGCCCCCTGCCCTTTGAGGAGGTGGGGAGAGGGCAGAACTCAGAATTGGGCCAGCTGCCCCCTCCCTCCACCCATCCCCAACCCAATGGCCATGCCACGTGGTGGCTGCTCGCCCCTGTGTCCTCCCTGGAGCAGCCAGGGTCTCAGTCGGGCCGGGGCCAGATCAGTGAGTGTGACCATCACCGCTCATCCTGCTCTTGTCCCTGAGGCTCAGGGGGTGGCGTCCACGTGGACATGGGGTCGCTGTCTGGTGCCCCAGGCTGGGCCAGCAGAAAGGAACCCATGTCCCATCTCCCTCCCTGAACCCCACAGGTACCAGGCATCTGTGGTGGTGCAGTGGCAGAGATGCTGCTCTGTGCCCTTTCCACCACCGCCTCCCGCCTCCCGCCACCCTTGTGGTATGCCCCAAGTGCTGGACCGTTGGGCCAAGTGGTCTGGATGTTTTTGTTCCCCATTCTGTCCCTGGGAGCACAAGTCTGGCCATCCCCCGGCCGCTGCCCAATCACCTTGGGTTGTGAGTTGTCTGCTTGCTAACGCAGCAGGTGTCAGTGTCCCACACGTGGGTGCTTCCCCCATGCACACTGAGGACACGCGTCTCCCACACCTTCGGTGCTGCCCACATCGCTGGCTTTAGTGGGTTTGTGTGCTGAGCCACGGCAGTGACGGGTCAGTTCTGGGTGCAGCGTGCCTACAGAGCACGACCCTATGGGCCCGCTCCGATACCTTCCTCCGGCTCCAGCCGTGGGCAGGGTCTTGCTAATGTAGCCCCACCTCAGACAGCAGATCCTAGACAGGTGCAGAGGTTTGGGGTCACCCCACCCAGCAGCGTCTACCCTGTTACTGACCTGTGACAGACTGTCTTGTGTCTAGCTGGGACGTGCCCTCCTCAGCAGGGCCCAGTCACCCAGCAGCCGCACCACAGCGGCCAGCCCGTCTCTGGGAGGCGAGGTGCGCCCTTGCCCTTGACTCTGCCTCCTGGGTGCTTCCTGGCCCCCCGCTCCCGCCCCCTGTGCCAGACACTGTTCTAACTGGAGGTGGGGGCACTTTTCATCCCACTTTGAGAGGCGTGTCCAGCATCACATGCAACTACTGAGCCTGAGGCCAGTTTGAGTGAAGCCTATCTGGCTCCGAGGTCCAGACTCGCCTGCTAAGCAGCCTTTTCTCTCCACTAAGTAATTGATTCATTCATTTATCGAACTAACAGATATCTTCTCAATTCCTACTATTTCCTAGAGCTCTTCTGAGAATTAGATGTGGGTGGGAGCAGAGATCTAGGGGGAGCTTTCTGGAGGGGCCGCCTGAGGTACACAGAGGGGGAGAGCCTGTGTTGTGGGTTGAGGGTGAAGTGCATAAGGGAACGGAAGATGCAGATGACCTCAGGACAGCGTGACAGAAGCAGGGTCCCCCTGGACGTGCCTGCAACCCCTGGGTCCCTTCTCTGCCTGGGGCCCTCTGGCCATGAGGAAGTCTGGCCCCTGGGGTTTATGCACACCCTGAATGAGCCCCTTCCACACTGCTTATTGGGCCCCCTGCCTGGACAGGGGAGGGGTCGGAGGCCAGGCAGGGGTGCCAGGTCCGAGCTGCCCCTGAGCCCACTGAAGGTCAGCATGGAACGCACCGCAGTTACACAGGGTCCCTGCTCCGCCCCCAAGTCTTGCCATCTTCTTCCTGCAGAGACCTGGGTGAGGGCACCCAAGAGCTGGCTGGCACGGCCCATGGCGTGGACAAGGACCCCTGGACCTCTGGTTGTCCTGCCGGCTGCCCCTGGGCCCAGGCGATGGTACACACAGCAGACCTGGGGCGCACACCGCCGGCCTCCTGGGCCCCAGCGGGAACGTCCCGACAGCACATGGCCTATGTCCCGGGGTGACTGGGGCAGAGTCCAGAGCCTGCCTGCCATGCGGGGGGACCCGCCAACCCCACTGCCCAGCCACCCACCTCGACCTGCGTGTCCAGCTTGAGATTGGTCAGCCTCCAGGTTTTGGGAGCCCTCGGGGAGCCGAGCTAGGGGCTCCGGCGGGGTGTCCTGTGCAGGGGAGCCCAGCTGGGCAGCTTCCATAGAGGTACCCCCAGGTGAGCCCTATGACCTGACTCCTTTGAAGACACTGAGGGTGTTTTGCGCCAGGAGCAGGGAATGCTGGCACAGCTCTGTGGGATGCCTTGTCTCTGTGCCTGGCCTGTGAACAGGGACCCAGCTGGGTGCCGCCTCTGCTCTCGGCCAAGTAGTCACGAGGGGACGGGGGTGTGAAATAAACAGTTCTGATCCTGGAAAAGGGAAGGTAAGACTCACTGTCTGAACTTTCAATCTCTGTAACAAAACATCAAGCAGGTTGACTCGAGGTGCAGAAGAGCTGCTGTCATTCCTGCTCCAGGCACTGGGCTTGTGGCACCTCCACTGGGCAGTGGGTCAGCCAATGGCTGGCTGGGCCACGAGGAGGCCAGCGGCTCAGGCATCCGGCTGCTGCAGCTGTGGGCACAGACCTCGCCGGCAGTGGCCACGTCAGGTGCCCTGGGTCTCCCTGCACCCTGGTGGCCCGAGTCCATGACGAGAGTCCTGAGGGCAAGCCTCCCCTTTCGGGGGCCTGGGACATCATTCCAGGCTGTGGCTGCTGCATTCTACCTGAGGCAGAGGGCAGCTGGACTCCACACTGGGGATCAGAGGACCGGGCAGGACCCCCAGCCCGCAGCCCCCAACTTGTTGGCAGTGTAGTGAGCAGCTTTCCATGTCTTGCCCCAGCCCTGTCCCCGAGGTAATGGACGTACAGTCCCATTGTGTCCACACCCACCACGCATAGCCCTAGATGGTGCACCTGCTGGCATGCATCTTGTCTGCTCCATCCAAGATGACCTCCATGACGGCTTGGCCATGCCTCTGCCAGGCTCCTGGTGAGCCTTGGTCCCGCCCTCTGTGTCTCCCTCACCAGTAGTGCTGTGGAGCTTACGTCTGTCCTGGGCCAGTTAAGATCCAACTCTAGTCTCCTGCACTTTGGGTAGGACCTGTGTGGCCATTGGGAAAAGACCCTAGTTTGTCCTATGACCTTCCCTGCATCCTACCTAGAGCTCCTACAGCCACGCTGGGGCCATGAGGAGTTCCGCAGATGGTCCTAAGGAGTCCGTGCTGCCTCTGAAGCCATGTTTGTCGTTTCCCATCACTTACAAATACATCCTGATGTGGGCTATGTGGAGGTTGCCGTCTGTCCCTTGGTTCTTGTGGGAAGCCACCTGCTAAGGGACCCTTGGGTGGTTTTCAGCTGTTACGTTTGGTACCAACATCCTTCCTGTTCTGGGGTGCTGTTCCATAGCGTGGGTCTCAGAGTGGGGTCCTGAGGCCAGAGAGTATATGCAGCACTCGCTTGGACACGTGGCAGTTTCCACATCAGGCTCCTGTGGGGGACATGGAGGACATTGGGTGGACAGGGTCCTACCCAGCCCTCAACCAGAGCAGTGCAGTGTCCACACAATGGGGGTTCCTGGCCACATACACACTTCTGATGATGCTGCCGACTCAGCTGGCTGCCCAACAGGCTGCCCTGTGCCCTTGATCCCCTCAAGGGTGATGAGGATGCTGTCAGAAGCGGCTCTGCTCCTTATGGGGTTTCTGCACATCCTGCCGAGGCTCTGAGTTCTCCTGTCTCAAGTCCTGGGTCACCTGGCCCTCTTCATGCCCTAGCCCTTGTCAGGATGAGGCGGTGGCAAGCCTGCTGTCAGGGTCTGGGGGTACCTGTGAGGGGAGGCAGGTATGTGACCCTGGGCTGCTGGAGTGAGGGCAGGAAGACCGGGATGGAGAGGGCCACGGAGGGTGGCCCCATTCTGCTTGGTTCCCAACAGCTAGGGTTACAGAGATGGAATCCAGGCTCCATGAGGGGCTGCAGGGGCAGGGGGGCAGGAGGGAGGGAGAAGATGTGGTGCCCACTGGGGCAGGTGCAGCCTGGATGGCAGAGCCATTGCCCAGGAGAGCTGGGAGTGCCACAGCCAGGGGTCACAGGAGTGGCCTGAGTGACCCTAGCATGTGGTGCCCCCGAGCAGGCAGCCCGGGAGGGAAGGGCAGAGCCCCAGTGCACTGGATGACCTGGCCTCAGAGGGCACTGGCTTGCTCTGCCCCAGGTCACCAGATGCACAGGCCAGGCCGGTTGGCCATCGGAGGGCACTGCCAAAGGGTGAGACCAGGGGTGTGAGGGTGGTGGGGCCATCTTGGGGGCTGGCAGCCCCTCAGCAGGCCTCTAGCCTCTTGCTGTCGCCAGCGCCCACACCCGGTCACTTGGTAGGATCACGGGATCCTCTGTTGGGATGGGGGTCCCCTCTACTTTCCCTGCAACGATTAACCCTGAGCTGGGCACGTGACAGGTGTCGAGGAAGCACGTGTGGAATGAAAAAGCAAAGGATCAAACGGTGGGCCCTGGGCAGCGTGAGAATGTGAGAGGACATGCTGGCTCCTCCTCCCCACGCGGGCCCCTCATCACCCAGCACTGGCCCTCTGCAGGGTCAGCTCGGCCACACAGGCCAGCCCCCAGCCCATGGCACCCCACAGCCCCACTGCCTGCAGCCCCTCCTTCCTCGGCTCCCTTGTGGAGGGCCTGCTGGATGCCTGCACCGTGACCAAGGCAGATGTGGCCCCGTCCTCCGGAGCCAACGACCTCGTGGGGAGATGGCAGGCTGTGCTGAGAGGCAGGACCCAGAGCCTGGGAGGTGCCCTGTGGTGCGCACTCCCCACCGCTGGCACATGCAGGGCTTGACCAGGATCTCAGATCCATGAAACATGAGATTCTCATCATGGTCAGAATGGAGGGCCCATGAGCCTGCCCCCCCTTCACTGAATACAAGGGTGTTGACCCCTTTCTGACCTACAGGATGTCTTTATTAGGGAGATGAGCCCCCTGTGTGGTGAGCTGCCAGCATTCCTGGGTCTTACCTTTGGACCTGGCTGAGGCAGGGGCCAAGAAGAGGCCTGAATAAGGAAGGGGCACCCTGGGAGGGTCAGGGCAGGGGGGGGGGGCAGGTGCAGGCACCACCTGGGGTGTGCTTCCATGACCTTTTAAAATAGTTTATTTTCCCATCATATAAATCATGCTGTAGTGACAACTCAAAAGAACGGGAAGTCTGAGGTCAGGGCCAGTGAGTCAGGAGGTCCAGGGCAGGGGTAGCAATTTCAGGGGTCCCCACAAAGCCCTACAGGGCAGGCGATCCCTGCCCATGTGAGACCCTCAGTGCTCAGCAGGGGGGTGAGGGATCCTAGGACCCCTGCCCTGCGGGGCCACCGTGGTGGGGAGAACACCATTCTCGGGCTGGAGAGGAGGACCACCTGCCGCTCCCGGGGTGGGGGCCGGGCTACTAGATCCCTGCCCCACCGCACAGTTCGCCCAGCTCCCCAGAGGACACAGTGGGAGGGCACTGTGTGCACTGGGTGGGAGTGGGAGGAGCAGTTCGTGTGCACTGGGTGGGAGTGGGAGGAGCAGTTCGTGTGCACTGGGTGGGGACCCTGTCCCTGGGAGGCCTGTCCTCGTGAGGGACTCCAACTCTTTGTGCTTGTGTCCCACCCACCACACACGGGAGTGGCCGTGGAGGTGGAATGTTGGTGGCGCTGGCTGCAGGAGGGGAGCACTTGGGAAACCCCCGGTCCCATGCAGACCCCGCCCTCACAGCGCTTGACCTCGCTCCTAGACTGAGAAACACCCGAGAGGAAGGGGGGTGACCGTGTGCGGAACGCGGAGCAATGGGGATGCTCCTGTGGAGGGAGCACCCAGCGGCAGCTGGTGGCACGCGCCCTATCGCGCAGGTGACAGGCCAGCAGGAACCCCAGGCAGCGCCCTGACCTCCTGCCCCTGCGGTCCCTTGGCCTGGGTCTCCCAGGGAAGCCGGGCAGATCCACTCCCCGCTTTTGGGGAGAGGGCAGCTCCCATGCAGTGACCGCCAAGCCCAGCCCCAAGAGTTGGGATTTCCAGACAAGTGCACCTGTTCCCGGAGACCCCCGCGCACCCAGCAGTGCCGGGCAGTCCCGGACCCGCTCTATCCGGACAGCTGACGCACACACGGGGGAGTGCGGCCTTGGGGTGAACTCAGGGTCGGGGCCGCACCTTAGGGCGCAAACGTGGGAAGGCCAAGCCCTGTCCGCAGTGGCCACAGAGTGGCCCCTCGCTCCTTGCTGCGGGCTCTCCAACTCCATCTCCATCTCCACCTTGTAGTTGGGAGCCGCACCTGTGTGGCTGCGGCTTCCTGAGCCGGGGGAGAGCTGCCCGAGCTCACAGAGAGGGAAACAGGCTCCGGCAAGGCAAAGGCTCCTCGTCAGGGTCGCTGCCGGGCTGGCGTCCTCCGCTACCGGCAGGGTCCTCAGGAGAGGCCTGCTCCTCTCAGGCCACACTGCTAGGTCTGGCTTCTCCTCTCTATCTCCTACAGCCTGACTTGTGTGACCTGAGGTAAGTCCCTCTCTCTCTCAGTTTCCTCATTCCGGGAGAGGGGCGCAGCGAGGCGCCAGGCGAGGCGGAGCGCGGCAGCGGACTGTGCCCCCGGCGCTGAACGCCTTCTCCCGCGCGGGGCTGGAGTGGGGCGTGGCCTGGGTGGGGGCGGAGTGGGCGGAGCCACCGCGGGGCGGGGCAGCCGACTGTGCCCCCAGCGCTGAACACCTCCTCCCGGGAGAGGCCGACGCAGGGGCGAGGGCGGAGTGGGTGGAGCCACCGCGGGGCGGGGCCAACAGGTGGAGGGTGCGCCGGGGTTGGGGCGGACTCCAATGAGGGGCGGGGCTCAGGGCTGTGGCGGCGACCTCGCCGTCGCCGTCGCCGGAAGGGGCGGGGCTACAGTTGGGGCGGGGTTTAGAGTCCTGGAAAAGAACGGCGGGGCGGGACTCAGCGAGGGGCGGAGCTAAGGGCTTCTGGGTACTCCGTACCCTACGCAGGGCGAGCAAGGATCGAGACTTCGGAAGGCCTCGAAGCGGGGGGGGCGGAGCTGTGACGTTAGCGAGGGTGGGGCTCCGTGGGGGGCGGGGCCAAGGCCTCCGGACGGCGGCGTACCTGTCGCCGGAGGAGGCGGGGCTCCAGTGGGGGCGGGGCTTAGGGTCCTCGAGTTGACGCCGCCGACGCTGGGGGCGGAGCGTAACGGGAAAGGGCGGGGCTCAGTGCGGGCGGGTTGGGGCTGCGGCGGCGGCGACGCGGGACTGGGCCTGCGGGGGGGCGGGGCCTGCCGGGAAGGGGCGGGGGAACCGAGAAGAGCCGGGCGGCCGGCCGGCCGCCAACCCGACCCGCGGACCGCGACAGCGGGACGGGCCGTGCCGCCGCCATGACAGGTGAGCGCGGGCGAGCGGGGGTCCGGGATGCCCTCCCGGGACGGGCGCGGCGGCCTGCGGGCGGGGGCGGCGGTTCTCCGGGGTCCCCCTGCAGCCCCTCCAGCCTCAGCCCAGGACTCCCAGAGGGGCGCGTACCGCTGGGACGGTGCTGTGTCCCGGGACGTCCCCGGGGAACCGAGGACACAGGCTCAACCCCCCGAGGCTTTGCGCTGCGCCGGGGACCCTCACCCCTGCAGCTTCCTTCCCCGGGGACTGAGGCCCAGCCCAGCCATCCTTCCGGAGCCTGATCCCACTGGAGAACCTGCCCCCCTTGCAGCTTCCTTCCCGGGGACCAGCCATTCCCCCCCACACACACACAGCCTGATCCCACTGCAGAGTGCCCCCCCCCACTGCAACTTCCTTCCCTGGGACGGGTGCCCAGCCCAGCCATCCCCGCCCCCCCCACCCCACCCAGGCCTGTTTGGATTGGAGAGCCCACCCCCCTCCTGGTCCCAGCTGAGCAGGGGAACTTCAGTGGGGGAGACACCGGTGATGGTGATGGGTTGGCGAGGAACCCTGGACAGCGCAATCAGGGAATGTGGTTGCTCTCAGGGGTTGCTCTCTGGAGTCCCTCCAGTAGGATGTCATGGGCTGGGACCTGATGTTTTTTGGGACCACAGTATCCCACCTAGGTCAGAAGAGACCCTAGCTGCTTCCCATTCCCCTGTCATCTCCCCTAATCCTTTTTATTTGTGGCTAAGTGCCTCCCATCCAGAGTTGCTGTAGAGGGACATATAGGGTGTCCTCTATGTGGAGAAGGAAATAAAGCCTCAGGTTAGATGAGTGCCAAGCCCCAGGCTGCCGGGGTAGTCAGTGGCAGAGGCAGAACAAGACCTGTGTCCTCCCCAGGGCCCCAGAAGGTCCTGTGGGGGACTCCCCTCCTGCCCCTTTCTCACAGCCAAGTCTGAGTGCCAAGCCTCTAGAGATCCCTCCTGTCACAGCCTGTCGCTTCTGAAATGGGGAACTGAGGCCCCGAAAGTGCAGACCCAGTGCAGTGAGATGGACTGTGCTTGCGGGGCTGCAGGGATGAAGTCCCTGGCTCACTGACCCTGTGCACTGTCGGGGCACCTGCCTTGTGCCGGTCCTGGGGCCTCCATGACAGGTTGCAGGATGAGCATTTGGACCTGATGAGTCTGCCCAGGCCAGTGCTAGCCAGCTGTCACTACATCTGTTCCTGTTCCTGTGGAACCAGGCCCTGCCTTGTGGGGTGCTGGGGACTGAGCCCTCTCAGCTCCACGCCTGAGGCCAGGTCCAGCCCTGAAACAGGAGGGGATTCTGAGAGGGACAGGAGCCAGTGGAGCCCAGCAAGGGCTCTGCAGGGGAGGACAGTGAGCTGAGCACGACATGGTGCGGGGAGAAACCACAGGACAGGTGTTCCCATCCTTGCATGGGGTCCCAGGCAGGATGGTGCCAATAGGGGCTGCCCTGCAGGATGGCTCAGTGGCCTGGGGTAAGGCAGCTCCCACAGGACCTTGAGTGCCAGGCAGGGGTAAGGGGTTGGGGTCTGTGGTCTTAGCACCAACTGGGTAAGAAGGTAGGGGAGGTGGGGCTTGGCCAAAGAAGCTAGCAAAGTCCTGCTGGGTTTTGTGTCAGAGCATTCCCCTCTATCCTTGAACACTGTCTGGGACTGTTGATCAGTGCCTGGGACCAGAGCCATTTCGTTTTCCTGTGCTTTTTCGTTCCTGGGTGTGGCCCTCCGGGTGTGGTTCGCACGCACAGCTTCTAGCCACCACAGAAAGCTTCAGCCCCAGGCTGTGCCACCATGTCAGGTGACTCACACTTTCCCCAATAGACTTCTCTTTGCTTGGGCTGCAGCATGAGGAGCCGCCACAGCGTCTACCCCTTAGTCCACCCATAGCCCTGGGCCATTCATTCCAGCACTCTTTAGTGAGCTCCTGCTGTGTGCCTGCCCTGTGCACACACTGCAGAGACAGCACTGGGCAGAAGAACCTGCAGCCAGGCCAGGAGCAGACTTGATGCAGCTAACTGTACAGTTAACTACTATGTTAATTACACAAGTGGGGAGTCTGGATGTCAAGAGGTTGCCACAAAGCTGTGCATGGGTCCAGCCTCCATCCATCTTCACTCCCTCACTGGCTGAGGTCTTCGGCAGGTGCTGTATCTCTTTGCCATGTTTTAGTGTCCCCATCCACAAACAGGGGTGGTGGTCTTGCAGGAGTTGCAGAGCTACTGGAAGATGGAGATGATCTGTACGCATAGAGCCTACAGAATGGCTGGTCCTGGGGCATGTGCCATGAACTGTGGCCACTGTTCTTGCCTCTTGAGTCAGAGAGGCTACAAGTGGTGAAGCCAGATGACCAGGGTGGTCCTTCCCATTGTGACCATGTGGGTCTTCTGGTGGCCCTGCGGGTAGCTTCCTCAGCACGGTGGGGCTGCTGATGAGTCTGTCTTCCAGGTAGACTTTCAGGGCCCGGAAAGATTCAGAGGTTCGAAATGCATATTTTTGAGGGAGAAAGACCAGCCAGGAGGAGATGGCAGTAGGAGAGAGAGATGAGTTGGCCCCATGATGTGACCCCATTTAAAAAATTTTTTAATTAATTAATTAATTTGTTTATTTATTTAATTTTTATTTATTTATGATAGTCACACACACACACACACACACAGAGAAAGAGAGAGAGAGAGAGAGAGGCAGAGACACAGGCAGAGGGAGAAGCAGGCTCCATGCACCGGGAGCCCGACATGGGACTCGATCCTGGGTCTCCAGGATCGCGCCCTGGGCCAAAGCAGCCAAACCGCTGCGCCACCCAGGGATCCCAAAATTTATTTTAAAAGAGACACGCACAGAGAGGCAGAGACACAGGCAGAGAGAGAAGCAGGCCCCTTGCGGTGAGCTCAACGTGGGACTCGATCCCGGGACCTGGGATCACAACTTGAGCCAAAGGCAGGCATTCAACCATTGAGCCACCCGGGTACCCCGATGTCACCCTATTTTAAAAAATCAACTTTACTGAGATTATTTACTAACAACAGGTACACTTATTTTAAATTAATAATTTTAAATTTTTTGACAAATTTATGCATCCATGGAAATACCAACCCAGACCCAATGAAGTCAAACATTTCTATCACTCCAGAAAGTTCCTTCATGCTCCTTCCCAGGCAATGCCACTGGACCCAAGGATTCATTTGCTATCTGTCCTTTCCTTTTTTTTTTCTTTAAAATTTAGCCATGGATTTTCAAAGTAGGATTTCTCTTTAATATGTTTTATTTTTAGAGTTATTTTAGTGTACAGAAAATTGAGCAGTTGGTATAGAGGGTCCCATACTCCTCCCCAAACCCACTTTCCTTTATTAATAATATCTTGCACTGATGTGATATATCTGTTACACGCAATGACCACTGTCAATACGTTATTACTAACTAAAGCCCATAGTTTACATTATAGTTCACTTCTGTGTTGTGCACTCTATGACTTTTGAAAAGGGCGTAGTGTCCTGTAGACCCCCCCATTACAGTGTCACTCAGAGTGGTTCCACTGCCCTAAAATTCCCCTGGGCTCTACCCCTTCATCACCTGTTCTCGCCTCAGCCCTGGCAGATCTTTCTACGATCTCCATAGTTTCACATTTTCTGGAATATCGTATAGTTAGTATGTTAACTTTGCAGACTGGCTTCTTTCCCTTAACGATATGCATTCAAGATTCCTCCCTGCCTAAAAAAAAAAAAAGTTTCCTCCTTGCCTTTTTGTGACTCCAAAGATCTTTTCTTTTATCCCTGAATTTTATTTCCTTGTAAAACTGATTAAACAGAGCCACTGTACAATTATGCATTCACCTGTGTGTGTGCTAAAACGTACATAGTTTACCGTGTTAACCATTTCAGTGGCATGACATACATGCATCGCGTTGTGAAACCATCAGTACTGTCTGCTTCCAGAACTTGGTCATCACCCGGGGAAAGCTGTCCCTGTACCCAGCAACTCCCTTTCTCCCCTGCCCCCAGCCTCCGGCTCTCTCTATAATTTGCCGTTCTGTATATTTCATATAAGTGAAATCATGTAATATTTGTCCTTTTGAGTCCTTGTTTCACATAGCACGTTTTCAGGGGTCACCATGTTGTAACGTCTGTGCCAAGTTTCCTCCCTCTGTGCCTGTGGAATGTTCTACAGGGTGCGTTTATGCATCCGTCTGTACGAGGACTCCGGGGTTGTTTCTGCTTGTTGGCTGCTGTGAGTAAAGCCACCCTGAATGTCAGGCAGGTCAGCGAGTCCCTGCTCTCAGTCCTGCGATGAGCGTGTGCCAGGAGGGGCTTGCTGGGTCCAGGGGTAAGTCCGCGTTTGACTTTCCTGTTCTCTGCAGGGGTGGCATCGTTAGTCCCCCAGCGCTTGCTTAGGGTTCAAGGTGTCCCCGTGTGTGTCCCACTCTCTGCGTTCCTGTTTGTATGTGACTACATGTGAGCACCCGCTCCCGAGTGTGAAGTGTTTTCTCATTGTAGTTTTCTCTGCGTTTCCCTTGTGACGAGTGGCTGTGAGCATCTTGGCATGCTCTCCAGAGTCCTGGATGTCTTCTTCACAGAAGTGCCTTGTCAAGTCCTTTGCCCATTTTTGAATTGTGTCACATATGGGTTTTTGTTGTTATGGAATGATAGGAGTTCTTTTTACATTCTGGGTATTGCCCTTATCTGATGTATGCTTTGCAAATATTTTCTCCCATCCTGTGCATTGCCTTTCTCCACACACAGGCCTACCCACTCAGAATAGGGTTTCCTTCTGGACTCTATTTTATTCTGTTGGTCTGTATGTCTGTCCTTATGCCAGTGTCACAGTGTTTTGATAGTTGTAGCTTTGTTGTAAGTTTTAAAACCAGTGTGAGTCTTCCAACTTTGTTCTTTTTTTTCAGGATGGTTTTGGCTATAAAGGTTCCTTTTAGGATGAAAACCAACAAACATCATTGGAGTTTGGATAGGAATTACATTGACTCTGTAGATCACTTTGGGAGTATTGTCATCTTCACACCATTAAATCTTCCAGATCCGTGAACAGAGGGTATATTTCCATTTATTTTTGTATCTTTTTAAATTTCTTTCAGTGATGTTTTGAGTTTTCAGTGTTTTCAGTACAAGTCTTTAACCTCCTTGGTTAAATTTATTCCTAAGTATTGTGTTCTTTTTGATACCATTGTAAATAGAATTGTTTTCTTACCTTTCTTTTTGGGTTGTTCATTGTCAGTGTATAGAGATGGAACTGATTTTCATGTATTGATTTTGTATCTTATAGCTTTGCTGAATTTGTTGATTGATTTTGACCTTTAAGATTTTCTATATATAAAATCATGTCATCTGCAAAAAGAGATAATATTACTTCTTCCTTTTCATTTGAATACATTTTATTTCCCTTTTTTGTTTGATTGCGCTGGCTGGAACTCCCAGTGCAACTTTGAATAGGAATGACGAGGGTGGGCATCTTGCTTGGCAGGATTCTCTGGTCATAGGGGAAGTCCTTCAGTCTTCCCACACTGAGTATGATCTTTGCTGTGGGCTTGTCATATATGACCTTCCTCATGTTGAGGAAATTTTCTTCTATTCTTAATTTTTGGAAAATTTTTTTTCTTTATTTTCTTTATTTTTTAAAAGACTTTTATTTATTTGACAGAGAGCACACAAGGAAGGGGAGGGGCACAGGCAGAGGGAGAGGCAGACTTCCCACTTAGCAGGGAGCCCGACCTGGAGCTCAACCCCGGGACCCCAAGATCATGATCTGAGCCGAAGGCAAATGCTTAAGTGGCTGAGCCACCTAGGTTCCCTGAAAGGTTTTTTCTTTTCTTTTCTTTTCTTTTCTTTTCTTTTCTTTTCTTTTCTTTTCTTTTCTTTTCTTTTCTTTTCTTTGTTTCTTTTCTTTTCTTTTCTTTTCTTTTTTTTTAAGATTTTGTTTATTTATTCATGAGAGACACAGAGAGAGAGGCAGAGACACAGGCAGAGGGAGAAGCAGGCTCCATGCGGGGAGCCAGATGTGGGACTCGATCCCAGGACCCCAGCATCACGACCTGAGTTGGAGGCAGACACTCAGCTGAGCCACCCAGGCGTCCCTAACGTTTTATCTTTAATCAAGAAAGGGTAGGTAAATCTAGGGGGATCCCTAGATGCCCTTTCTGCATCGCTTGAGATGATTGTGATGTGTGTGTGTTTTAGTTCATTCTATTAACGTAATATGGATGGATTATCACATGTTGAAACATCCTGGTATTCTGGGGTATGATCCTTTTAGTATGCTGTTGAATTCAGGTTACTAGTGTTTTGTTGAGGATTTTGGCATCAGTGTTTATAGGAGATATTGGTTGTAGTATACTTGTCTTGTATTAGGGTGATGCTGTCCTCATGGGATGAGTTAGGAAGTATTCTTTCTGTTTTTTGGAAGAATTGAACTATTAGTATTTAAATGTTTGGTAGAATTCACCAGTGGAGCCATCGGTTGCTGGGCTTTTATTTGTTAGGATAGTGTTGATTAATAATTTAATTTCCTCACTAGTTAGAGGTCCATTCAGATTTGTCTATATTTGTGTCTTGCTTTGGTACATTGTGTGTTTTTAGGAATTTGTCCACTTCATCTCATTTGTCAAATTTGTTGGGTTACAAATTTTCATAGTATTCTATTGTAATCCTTTTTATTTCTGTAAAATTGGTAGTCCTGTCCCTACTCTTATTTCTTATATTATTAGTAACTTGAGTCTAGCTCACAGTTTGTGAGTTTGTTGATCTTTCCAAAGAACCAACTTTTGATTTTGTTGTTCTATTTTCCATTGGATTTATCTTTGCTCTAATCTTTATTGTTTCTTCCCTTCTGGTATTTTGGGTCTAGTTTGCTCTTCCCTTCCTGCTTCCTTCAGGTGTAACAGGTAGATTGTTGATCTGAGATCTCTCTTCTGTTGTAAAGTGTATACAGCGTAAATGTCTTCCTCCGAACTGCTTTCATGGCATCTTGTAAGTTTTGGTGTTTTGTATTTATATTTTCATTTGTCTCAGGGTATTTTCTAATTTCCCTTGGGATTTCTTCTTTGATCCATTCATTGTTTCATTTTCACATAATTGTGCATTTTCTAGTTTTCCTTCTGTTACTGATTTCTGGCTTTATTCCATGTGATCAGAAAACACCCTTTGTATGATTTCAGTCTTTTAAAATATGACTTCTTTTGTAGCCAAACTTGTTTTGTGGTCTTTCCTGGAGTGTTCTGTGTGTGCTTGAGGAGAGGGCATACAGGCCCACCTCAGAGTTCTTGTGGGTTTGGTTCCAGTCAGTAAATAATAAAGCAAATATTGCAGTCACACGAGTCTAGTGAATTTCTTGGTTTCCCAGTGCATATAAAAGTTGCATCTACACTATATTGTGATCTCTCAAGGGCACAGTAGCATGTCTGACAATGTACATACCCTAATTAAAAATATTTTATTGCTAAAAAATGCTACCAATCATCTGAGTTTTCAGTGAGTCATAATCACTAATTGCAGATCACCGTTAACACTTATAATGATAATGAAAAGGTTTGAAGTAAGGTTTGAAGAATGAAAAGTTCGAATTGTGAGAATTATCAGAATGTGACACAAAGACACAAAGACATGACAAACAGGTGACGTTGGAAAAGTGGCGGCTGTAGACTCGCTCCACGCAGGGTTGGCACAGACCTTCAGTTTGTAGGAACACAGTGTGTGCGAAGCCCAGTTAGATGGGATGTGCTTGTGCTGTTGGGTGGACTGTCTGTGTGCATGTGTGTGCGTATATGTGTGCATGTGTGAGTGTGAGTGTTTACAGCACAGCCCATACCTGCAGTTCCCTTGCTGTTCTGACTGTTCCTGGAAGTGGGGTACTGACGGCTCTGCTGTTATTATTCATTATTACTAAACTTTTACTATTATTTGGGGGCTCTGATAGCTGGCACCTGTTTTAGATCTTGAATTGACCCTTATATTGACACGTGATATACTTCCTGTCTCTCGTCTTTGGGACAGAGTCTCTCTTGTCCTATTTGTGCAGCCGCCCCTGCTCCTTGGGCAGCTATTTGCCCAGCCCCTGTTCCCCTCTTCTCACTCTCGGCCCCTGGGCGTCTTTGGGCTAGAGTCTTTTGGGGACAGCATATAGTTGAATCATACTTATTTTAATCCAGAGGAAAAAAGCTCTACTTCCCTCTATTCCTGCCCCCAGCACTCACCCTCCCGAGGCCCCCTGATGCTTGTGCTCACCAGGTATGTGGTTCTGCCTCCCACAGAGTAGTTAGTTCTCTGACACCCACTGTGAGTCTCATGGTTCAACTCACTTCTGATGCATCAAGTCCTACCTGTTGGGGGCTCAGTGCTGCTGCTTCTGACTGAGTGGCTGTAAATTGAGGGTCCCATGACCCCCATTTCTGGTGCAGTTATTTATTCAGCTCACAGAACCTGGGAGCTGGTTCCACATACTATTGCCAGTATGACAGAGGGTATTTCAAAGGACACAAGTGAACATCCACATGGAAGAGAAGCTTAGGGCACAGGCCATGGGAGGGGCGCAGAGCTTCCATGCTCCTTCCACAGGGCCAGGCAGACCACCTTCCCAGCGCCCCATGCACTCAGCAACCAAGCTCTTCAGGCTCCTTCCTGTGGCTTGGTACGCGGGTTGTTTTAGGCACAATCGATGAAACCACTGCCCTTGGTGACTGATTCAGTCTCAGCCCCGCTCCCCTCCTGGAGGCCGGGTCCAGGGGACAGAAAAGCTCCAGGCCTCTAACCATGTGCTTAGCTTCACCGGATAGCAGCTCCCATCCTGTGGTTCTTCAGGGGCTTTGGGAGTCTCCGCCCATTGCCATGAAGTCACATGAGGCTGAAAGGGGCTTGTTAGAAACAGCAAAGCCACCTTCCCCTTCACATCTCCTCACTTAGGACATCCCCAGGCTCGTGGGAGCTCTGGACCAGGAATTGGGATGAAGATCAAGAGAGTAGTCCCTACTTTAAATCACAACACCACAAATCCATTTTGCCGATCTGTGTCTTTAATCTGTTTACATCTAAATACATACTGTAATGACTGATAATAACTTGTTTCTGCCTTTTTGCTATTTGTTTTCTGAGGTCTGTAGCATTTTTGTCTTTTGTGGTTAGTCGACTTTTTCTAGTAGCACATTCTGATTCCCTTTTGTCTGTATCCCGTGGATATTTTCTTTGTGGTGACCCTGAGTATTGCACACAATATAACCATCGAATTGACTTGATGCTGAGTTAATTCCAGTCACACACAGGCGCCTGGCCCCGGTCCGCGGACACGTACGCCAGGCTGCCACGGGGTGGAGGTGAGGGTGGGGGTGAAGGTAGTTGATGCTGTGGAATCACACTCCCCCTGGGGGATTCTATGTCCCCACCAGCCACAAACACCACAAACCCACCCCTGGTTGTTAAAGGCCTGTTGTTCTGAAGAACATTCTTAACAAGGAAGAAAGTGCACTGTGATGCTTTAGTGATGGTCCTGGAAGAAGAACAGTGGGGAGAGCACCCCCAGCCCCCGGGTGGGCACCCCGCTGTGCTGCAGCGGCTTCTCAGGGCCTTGCAAGAAGCGCTGTCCCGTGGCCATGCCGACACAGGCTGCCCTGTCTTCTCCAGTGAGCTCTGTGGCATAGAGAGCAGCTGGAGCCTCCACTCTGCCTCTGAGCCCAGGGGGTCATTCCAGTGCACTGGCGCCCACCATCTCTAGTGCGGGGAGGGCAGGACGGGGGTTCCGGGCTGTGCATCTTGCACTTGGGCGGGAGGTCAGCAGTTGTTAGGCTGCTTACAGCTGATGTGCCTCTGGGGGCCACAGTGTGTGTGGTGTGGGGGCCTGCTGCTCACTCCCCAGCCCTGCTGGTCATGCCCTCTGCCCTCTGCCGTTTCAGAGCAGACCTACTGTGACCGCCTGGTCCAGGACACACCTTTCCTCCTGGGCCGGGGACGCCTCAGTGAACAGCAGGTGGACAGGATCATCCTGCAGCTAAATCGCTACTACCCCCAGATCCTCAGCAACAAGGATGCACAGAAGGTAGTGGTGGGGGCTGGCACGTCCCATTCCACCCACTCTGGGCTGGGAGAAGACGGGAGGTGGAAGCCTGGCTCTCGCAGTTACCTTGGGCCCAGAGCATCAGCTCTGCCAGCCTCTATGTCTCCTGTCATGGGGACCTGCCGGTGGCCCTCCAGAGATGCCAGGGGCACCACAGGCCATGGGGCAGCCAATGCATCCAACGGGCCTGGGGCCAGCCAGGCTCTACCCCACTGCCGCAGGGTCTGCACCCTGCCTCCTGCAGAGGTTCAAGGATGGACAGACTTTTGAGGACACCGAGGGAGGCTGGGTGCCGCTGCCTGTGCCACCCGTTCTCTGAATTCCCCACAGGGCCAGGGCCTTAGGGTGCAGGGCCCTCCAGCAGAGGAGGGACTGAGTAAGCCCTGCTCTTGGAGCTGCAGCTCCTGCCCTGGTGCAGGGTGATGGGGTTTGTGTGTGGGGCTGTCCGCAGGGTTGGGGCCTCTCCTGGGCACAGCGAGCTTGATCCCAGCACAGCCAGCATCTCCATGGGCCCTGCGCCGGCTCAGAACTTCAGTTATGAGGGGCAGTAAGTTAAAAGTATGGGTCAAATGTATGCCTTTTATTGTACTTAAAAGTCTAAGATACATTTGTTGTATAAAAAATTGAAAAGTTTGAGATGTTTAAGATGTTTATACAAGAAAAGGGAGACTCTTGCGTGTATACACCCACGCTGTTCCGTTCCTCATAGTTTCCATGGCTCCTGCCCTGTGCTTCCTGTGGCCTTGGATTTCTGGTTCAACTCTGGTTCCAAGGGGGAATGATCCACTGCCACCAGGTGGCAGCACCAGGCCACAGCTTTTAGGTTCTGGGGCTCCAAGTGCCTGGTGCGCTGACCTTTAGAACCACACGTTTCTCCATGCAACACATCAAAAGAACTTGTTTTTATCTGTCCAACCCTTGGGTGTTAAAAACTTGGATCACATTCCTGTAGACTGTACAAGTTATTTCCTTATGCGATCACTCGTCCCTTGTGCTGTCACCTCATTGGTTCCCCATAAGGACCCTACCATTTGGGTTTTATTATATCCTTTTTACAGGTGAGGAAACAATCGTGGGGTGAAGTGACGTGCCAGAGTCACACTGCGAGCCATTAGATCCTAACAGTTGGAATAAATCCCCACTGTCCTTGCTGTGTCCCGGCCTCCGCAGGGAGAGAGTGCGGGACCGTGGCTGTGCTGTGACCCCAGCACTGCCTGAGGCCCCCCAGGCCCTGTCCCCCACTGACCGCCCCTGCATCCTTCCCGCCCTCAGTTCCGGAACCCCAAGGCATCGGTGCGCGTGCGGCTCTGCGACCTCCTGGGCCATCTGCAGCGGAGCGGCGAGCGGGACTGCCAGGAGTTCTACCGGGCCCTGTACATCCACGCGCAGCCCCTGCACGGCCTGCTGCCCAGCCGCCTCGCCCCGCGTACGTGCACCACCGACCTCGTGCCTGTGTCTCCATGGGTCCCGCCACCGCTCCGCACCCTCCGGCGGCGCACCTAGGGCCTCAGGCTGGTGCTAGCCTGGAGGGACGGTCCCCGCCCCAGCGCCCAGGTGGCGGCTTAGTCCTGGGGTCCCCCTGGTCCCCTGCAGGAGGGGCTGCTGTCCGCCGTCGTCTGATGTGCAGCCAGAGGGACGGAGGGGCCCCACCGCTGGGTGTGGGTCACGCACCCAGGCGTCCTCCTGGGCCATGGGGAGAGCGCGCTCCCAGCCCCGGGCGGGGGCGGGGGCGGGGGGTGGGGTAGACAGCAGTTCCAGGGGGACAGGTGCCTGCCCCCGAGAACGATGGCCCCGCCCGCGGCCCCCGGGTCTCAGGAAGTGGACAGAAGACGCGAAAGTCAAGGTCCCCTCTGCGGTGCTGACCCCTGAAGCCTGGCCCGGAAGGCTGGGTACTCACTGCCGGGTGCTCACATCCGGGTCTCGCCCCCACCCCCACGGTTGGGGATGGGCCCCCCCTGTGGGCGGGACGAACGCTTGCCCCGCCCCGCTAACCTGCCCCACCGTCTTGTTTCCAGAGCATTCCGATTGCACAGACCTAGACTCAGGCGCCATGGGCCACGAGCTCAGTGACAGGGGTAACCGCCTCCTCCTGTTCTCTCTCACCCCCTCCCCACCTCCCCCCGCTCCGGCTCGGGGCTGCTCCTTCGCTCCCTCTGCATGGGCCCCGGGGTGCTTGCTGGGCGCCCCCAGGTCCACAAGCCGCCTGTCTCCCCAGGACCCGTGGCCTTCCTGGCCTGCCTCGGCCTGGCTGCGGGGCTGGCGCTCCTCGTCTACTGCTGCCCTGCAGGTGGGTGCCGCCTGGCCTCTGCGTGCCTCAGTTTCCTTGCCTGCGCAGTACAGGGCGGGGCCGGGGGGCCGGGGTGGGGGGGGCGGCCGTGGGCGGGGAGGGGCGGGCCTCGGGGGAGGCGGGCGCAGGGGGACTGGAGTAGGACCCCTGCCTGTGGCCCCTACGACCCCCCCCCCCCCCCCCCCCCCGTGCAGGACCTTTCTCAGCTGAGCGTGGGGGGCCACCAGGCAGGGCCCTCGTGTCGCTGGGCTATTCCGCCTGGGGACGCCTGGGCCGGTTTCTGAGGCCGCCTTGCCTCCCAGACCCCAAGGTGCTGCCGGGGGCCCGGCGCGTCCTGGGCTTCTCGCCCGTCATCGTGGACAGGCACGTCAGCCGCTTCCTGCTGGCCTTCCTCACGGACGCCCCGGGGGCGCTCTGACTCCCCCTCCACGCGGGAGATGGCCCCGCCGGCCGCCACTTCTTTTCTAAATGCTTGTTTTTCACTATTTATACTTTTTAAAGAAAGTTATCTTCGCCTAACAAAGGTGTTCGACATTAAATGTTGGAGCCTTGTCACTTCTCTCAGGAATGTTTTCTAGATGATTCCCACCAAGACCCCGTGGCCCCTCCGGTGGGGGTGGTGGAGCCTGGGGGTGCCTGGGCACCCCCGCCCACCACGTTCCTTGTCCCCCCACAGGTCCTCTCCAGGCTGCCCTTCCCACTTCCAGCTCCCACCCCCGTGGTGTGCACCCATCCCTGCAAACGTGGCTGCCACGGTGCCCCATCCCTGCCATTCCCACCGTCCACCCCACCAGTGTCCTCGTGTGTCCCCCCGGGTGGGGCTGCACCCACATCTCCTGAAGAGGAAACAGGAAGGGGGCCCAGCCTTCCCTGCAGCCCTCTGCCCCTCCGTGGTGTGTCCCCATCAAGGTCCCGGCCACACCTGGCCTTGCCAGCCCTGTGTTGGGAGGGGAGGCCGTCCCCACCGGGAGGCAAGGACCTGGCCTTGTGGGGTCCACTGGGCCCATCTATGACCACAAGCTGGAAATGAGCATGAGATCCTGTCCCAGATTCTAGGCAGGGTCTTGGAGGAGAACAGTCCACAGAACCTTTAGAGATGAAACCGTCATTGTGCCATCTGAGGTCCTGGCCCCTGGCTCCTCACCCCCCCACACACACCCCGAACACCCCCACACCCCTGCAGCCTGGGGTTTGATGGCACCAGACACCTCATCCTCAGTGTTGGGACACAGGCCTGGCCCCTCAACCAGGATGTCTACATCCCTGTCTCACCTGTCAGCCTCAGGTTCAGGATCCCAACATGGAAACTAACCTTGTGGACACGGGAAGGCAAATGTGCAAGTCCCTTGGCATTGGGCATTAGCCCTGAGGGCCCTGGGAGCCCCCAGAGACCCCAGCTCTGGGCCGTGCCCTCCTGCCAGCCACCCTCATAGCATTGCACCCCCTCCGGCGTCCTGTCACCACCTGTTACCGCCGCCAAGGTGGGGCTTGCACCCGCCCTCCCCCGCACACCACATGTGCTAATGGATGCTTCCCCATCAGCGCCTCCCCCACAGCATCCTGGGGAAACAGAAACATATCTGTCAGCCCAGGTTCCCCCAGGATGTTTTTGGAGACATGGGCAGGCCCGGTGGAGGCAAACGGCCTGGAGCAGGGGGAGCTACCCTTAGCTCAGGGCCTACCTCCCCCACCCCCACTGCCCCCTCCTGCCTCCGCCCCACGGGCCTTGCTGTGCCTGCAAGCTCAGCCTCTGCTGGCCTGTGTGCTTGTGCGCTGGGGGCCCCTGGGAGCTCCCCGGACAGCGCCGCCCGGTCGGTCACATGCTCGGTCACATGCTCGCCACCGCTTCTCGGTGAGCTTGCCCGGTGGTGGCAGGGAGCGGGGGACGGGGTGTCTGGGTCACCTGCGGGGACGCAGATAGGGGGCTGCCTGTGCTCCACGGTGAGCCCGCGCGGCAAGGTGGGGAGTTGTGAGCCTGCTGGTTCCCCAGAGTCCCTCCGCAGGCCAGGCAGGGCTGGAGACGTGCGTCCTTCCAGAACCAGGCCCCAGGGCTGTGCCCCTGCTCCCAGCACCACCAAGGCTGCCTGCCAGTGGGGCGTTCCCTGCTTCGCCCTGGCCTCGAGTGCAGCCCACCCCTGAGGCTCAGGCTGCTGTGTGTGGTCTGCAGCCCCCGCCCATCGTGAGGGGGCAAGATGCCCATTCCTGGAGTCAGTTTCCTCCTGGGCAGGCACCCTGGGGTGCTCTCCATGTCAGACCTACTCTCAGACACAGCTGGGAAGAGGTGATGGGCACACCCTGGTGAAGGGGACAGACGCCTGGGTAATGGTGGTGGATGCTCCCAGGTGAAGACACCCTGGGAAAGAAAAATGAGGCCGCTCCGTGTCGGTGCAGACATGGCTGCCCCCAGGAGGGGAAGAGAAGTTTCCAGCGTGTTCTAAGTTCAGCTGGTGACCCCTGTGCTCTGAACGTTTGTGTCGCTCCAAAACCCACAATATTGAAACCTAACTTCCAAGGGGATGATGGTAGGGGTGAGGCCTTTGGGGGGTAATTGGATCATGAGGGTAGAGCCCAGGATGGGATTAGTGAGCTCAGAAAAGAGACTCTCAAGTGTCTCACTCTGCCATGTGAGGACACAGCAAGGAGGAGCGGTTCTCACCAGACACCGAATCTGCCAATGCCTTGATCTAGACTTCCAACCTCTTGAAGTAAATGTCTACATCTAAGCACCCAAACCAAGACAGCACCCTTGAAGAAACATCCCAGAGACAGGTGGGCCCAGCAGGCCTGTGGCGGGGAAGGTCCTACTGCTGTCTGCCACCTGAGACCCATGAGGCCACTACTTCCCAAACAGGATAGTCACTGCTGTCCCACGTTCAGTGGTGCATCAGGGCAGGAAAGGCACCATAGGTCACAAACTCCCCTGCCCCCTTGCCCCATCAGCCTCAGGCCCTCACTGTCCTATATCCTCACCTCCACACGTCTATAGCTGGAACACCCGCGATCCTTGCCTGAGCACATTTCACATGCTGTGCCCACAGCTGGAACACTCCATGGATTTAACTTTTTAAAATGTTATCTCCTCCAGGAAGCCCTTCCAAATACTACAGTAACAAGAGTAGGTCCTCATCCTGGCTATAATAGTCCTGGGATGCCATTTCCACCTTCAGAAGAGTGCAGAGGCAGGGAGAGGCTGCCCGGGGTAGAGAACAGTTCCCAGGATTACATATGTGATGGGTGTGAGGAGGGTTAATGAGAGAGTGAAATGAGGTGTGAGGAGGTGTGGGAAGGGTGTATGGTGTGTGGGGGTTGTGAGGAGGGTATAAGGAGGTGAGAAGTGAGGAGATTGAGGAGGTGTGAAGGTGTGAGGAGGGTGTGAGGAAGATGTGAGGTGTGAGGGGGGTGTGAGGAAGTGTGAGGATATGTGTGGAGGGTGTGAGGAGGGTATGAGGGGGATGTGAGGAGGTGTATGGAGGTGTGTGGAGTGTATGAGGAGGGTGGGAAGAGGTGTGAGAATGATGTGAGGATGGGTGAGGAGGTTATGGAGGTGTGAGTAGGGTGTGGCCGTGTGAGGAGGGTGTAAAAGGATGTGAGGAGGTATGTGGTGTGTATGAGGAAGGTGTGAGGATGTGAGGAAGTGTGTGGAGGTATGAAGAGGGTTTGAAAAGGGTGTGAGGAAGTGTAAGGAAGGTGTGAGCAGCATGTGAAGTGTAAGGAGGGTGTGAGGAGGTGGTGGGAGGTGTGAGGAGTATATGAGGAGGGTGTGATGGAGGGTGTGATGGAGGGTGTTGGTGAAGAAGGGGTCTCCTGTGGCAGGAGTTTGGGCTCTAGATGCCCTTCCCTTGGGCGGATGTGGTTAGGGCTGGGTAAGGACACAGCCTGGTGTTTGTGAAGCAGGAAATGCAGCTGCATCTTGCACAACACAGCGCTCCCTCTAGGGAGAGAGTGGCGTTGACTGCAGGTGCAGAGTGTCTGGGTGAAGGTGCTGACACTGCTGGATCCAGGGTAGTTATTTCCAGTTTTCCTGGGTCAGTGTTCTTCAGCAGGTTCAGAAAGCCCCGTTTTCCCTGTTGCCCCCAAAACCTCTGCTCAACGCCAGGCCTGACCAGGCCCCTGGGTGGCCTCCTGCCGGACGGGCCCCAGGCCTACAGTCCCACAGACGGGATGAGGGCCCCTCAGCACCAGCCAGGCAGCAGCTGGGACCCTGGTTCTTACCCATCTGGAAGGCCAGGACCCATCCCCCTGCTGAGAGTGTGGGCTGGGTGCTGCGGGGTGTGGGGGTACTGCTGCCCTGGGGCACGTTCCTCACGCCCCACACATGTCCGGGTCCTTCCTCTTCTCAGGTCAGGACATGGAGGCCTGGATGGGAGGACAGTGGGGAGGAAGGCCAGGGGTGGGAACTGGTGGTAAGTAGACCTGGGAGAGAGGGTGGCCAGGGTTGGCCTTCCTTCTACAGCACAGAGCTACTTCCTCATGTGTGGACAGGCCCAGGCAGCGATGACCCATCCACTGCTACCAGTCGTCATCCTAGCCCATCCGCCATCCTCTCAGGACACATCTGCTCCTGGTCCATGCGGCCTCCGGCTCTTGTGCGGCAGGCCCCTTCAGCTCCCCTCAGGCCTGACACCCCCTGGGCTCCCTCAGTCCCCTGCCCAGACCCCTTCAGGCCTGACCACCTCCAGGCCCCCTCAGCCCCCCCACCTGGCCCCCCACCCACAGCACCCAGGTCGTTGGTCTCCCTAAGGCATGTCTATCTCACATCCTTCTCATATCTCCTGGCTCCTCGCCCTCCTCCCTCCCTCGCAGGGTCTTACTGTCCCCCAGGGCTCTGTGGGCCCCGGTTCTGAAGTACCCACTGGGCCTAGTTCATGTGGTCCGCAGCAGACATTTACTGAGCACCAACTGTATGCCAAACATGGTGCCACGGACACAGGGCAGAGGTGGTGGCATTGGCCTCAGAGAGACTGGCAGGTAGGACCGGCTCTGTCTGGGGGCAGCCCTGTCCTGGGGCAGGCAGGGCAGGAGCAGGTAGGAGCAGACGTGGGCCAAGTTGTCCTGTGGATGCTGACGCTGGCCGATGGTGCCAGAAGCAGAGCAAACCCAAATGGCCCAAAGTGACTGGGAGTGTGGGAAGGACCCACAGGGGGGCCTGAGAGCCACCAAGAGCTCTCAAGGCCTCAATGGAAACATGTGGAGTGAGGGTCAGGGGTCAGAGTGGCCACCAAGGCTCAGGCCTGGGAGCTGGGGGGGCACATTGGGGGCAGGGGCAGTGGGGCCCAGGATGCAGGCCCGCCCACTGCCCCCCAACGTCCCCAGTGTCCTCACCGCCCGTGGAGGCAGCCGGCCTGGCCACTGGGGCTTGGTCCAGGCCCCTGGGCTTCAGCTCTCTGGCAGGTACTAACAAGCTTCCTGTCCCGGCCAAAGGAGGAGCTAGATGACCTGTCGGCCATGTCCATGGCACTGCTCCAGGTGATGACCACCCAGCCCACATCTTGGGCCACAGATCCCCGCGGATCCCCCGGTCCACCTGTGCCAGACCCTGGGCAGGACAGGGCCAGGGAACAGGCCGCCCAGGACAGGAGCAGGGAAGGGAGACAGGATGGGGTGCCCCGGGTGGGCTGGCAGGAGGCCCAGGTTGTGGGGACAGGTCAGGGTGAGAGCCAGGTCAGTGAAGGGGAGGCTGAGCCCCACCCTGGGGCTATTCCCCAGTCTGTGACCTCTGCCACCAGCCCCGGGTGCCCCCACGCAGCGCTATCTGCCCCCCGACTGGCGGGAATACCTGCCCTCCCTCTGCCCACCTGCTTGTCTTCCCCCCAGGCCTCGCCTACACGTGGATCACCACCTTTCCCCCCTCCATGCAGGATGCAGAGACGCTCACCTCTGCAGATGGCTGCCCAGGGCCCCAGCTCCCCGCTGCCCAGTGCGCCCAGTGCGTCTCCACCTCCTCTCCTCTGTTTCCCCATTCTTCCCTGGACGATGTGGCTGATTGGGGGGAAGGGCGGAGAGAATCCCAAGCCAACGAGGCACCTCGCACAGAGCCCAACACCAGGCTGGATCCCACGACCGAGACCATGACCTGAACCAAGATCAAGAGCTGGACGTCTGCTCAACCCATTGACCACCCAGGCCTGAGGCAGGAGGTGCGTCAGCTTTATTGGTCATTGGTGCTTAGATATGCAGGGGCTCGGGCCCCTGAGGAGGGCGGGGGCACTGCCCCCTCACTGCTGGTGGCAGGTGTGTTCAGGGCCCGTGACCAGGGGGCTGGCAGGCCTGTGTCCTGGGGGACCAGAGTGGGGCCCCGAGGCCCAGACGGTCCTTGCACTGGCAGAGGGTGGGGGCTCTCCTTGTCCCTCTGGAAACATCCTGAGACCAAGGCCGACTAGGCGCCTCACCATCCTTGGGCTGCTGTGTGTCTGTGGTGGCCACGACCCTGCCCCAGTTGTGTGTCCTGAGCCAATCTCAAGGGGAGCAGGCCCCGTGTTGGCCTGGGTGGCCTCACCACGGGCAGCCTGTCCTGGGATATGGCCCGGCGGGGCCCACCTGGGTTCCTGCAGTTTCCAGGACCAACTCCCACAGGGGGTGGGTCTCAGGGCGAGGCGGCTCCGGAATCTGGGTGGCTGTGGCAGGGTTCCATCTGGGGGCATCTGCCGACAAGGGGGAAGATGGGGTGAGGGTCTCCAGACACGAACATTGGGCCGTGACAGCTCCAGAGCCAGCAGGGCCTAATTCCGACCTGGGTAAGCCTCAGTTTCCCCTCAGGGGTCACTGTCAGGATTTGAAGGGAGAGCAGAGGCTGGTGGGCTGACTCATGTGACCCTCGCTGGGCTAATGCTCCAAGAGGCTCAGGACAGTGTCCGGGGCACACAGCAAGCAATTAATAAATGTCTTGGTCACCAGGCCAAGGGAGCAGGCTGGCATCCAGGGGGTTCCACTGGGGACAGCTTGAATAAACCAGCGCCAGCCAGGCTTAGAGCCGGACCCCAGGTGGGGCCGACAGCCATGGTGTGAGTGGCACAGAACGGGCACTCGTGTCAGCCCTGCTCCCGGGGTCCCACCTCCTCGTCTGCTGGCCGCTCCCAATAGGCAGGTGTTCAGGGAGCTCCTGTCCACTCTGCCAGGGGGTATTGGGGGTCAGACGACTGTTACCAGTGCCCATGTTCTCCCTGGGGCAGGACCGAGGAGTGACCAGGGGGCTCAAGGTGTGACCATGGGGCCAGAGGAGTGTCCACCTATGCACACACCTATGGTGTGACAGCCTATACCAGGGCCTCAGATGGAGGACATGTGACACACGCTGGGCCTGCTGACCTTCTACATTTGCCCTTGAGGCACCTGGGATCCTGTGTCTGGCACCCCCTTGGGCCCCAAACAGCATAGGGGCTTCTTTGTTGAACATGTAATGGGGGTCACCCAGTCTCCCTGTGGCTCCTGCTTCCAAGTGGGGTGACCTTGGTGGGTGCTCACCTCTTTGAGCAAGGACAGGGGGTGAGTGTGGGGGGGCACGCGGCCAGGGGTGCCCACCCTGTGAGGCCCGGACAGGACCGACACAGGGCACAAGGGTCTGCTGGTGGTAGAGTAGGGGCCTGACAGGGCTGGCCAGGGGACAGAGGTGGCGTGTGCCCTTCTGGCTCACCTGAGCCCCTACTGCCGGGGGGCCACGTCCATCACCGGCTTCTGGACACCAAAGGCAGTGATGAAGATGTTGACCACGACGATGATGAAAATCAGGCCGGTGGCCAGGTTGTTAAGGAAGTCCAGCTTGGCGTGCTTGGCGGGATTGTTGAGGTCATACCTGACTGCGGGCACAGGGAACAGGCACTGCACCAGGGCCACCGTGTGCGGGGTGGGGACTGTGCAGTGGCCGCGGAGCAGCAGCCCTGTGTCCCCCACAAACCAGAGCCCAGATGCCATCTCAGGACAGAGCCGACATGAGGCACCAAGTGCACACAGGCAGCACCTCCCTGAGCACCCACGGTGCTCATGCTGACCCAAGGGCCTGTCCTTACGCCCACTCTACGGGTGAGGGAACCGTGGCCTGGGAGGTCATGCACCTGCCCAAGGTCACACAGCCAGCAGTGAGGGGTGCCCTGACCTCACTCACCTCGGGGGCAGGACCATCTGGTCCCTGAAGACCACTGGATGGTCACGTGTTCCTATACCCTCAGCTTGGGCAGAAGGAAGGACAGAGACCCGGCAGGGGGGGCTCAGAGGGCTGCATCGGGGAGCCAGCCCTGACTGCAAGGCTGAGTGAGGCCTGTTGGTGGTGAGCAGCCCGTTCCGGGGGGGATGCAAGCAGGAGCAGCAGATCAAGGGTGGGAGCATCCCAGGCCCTCCCCCCCACCAGGCCCAGCCCAGGCTCACACCAAGGAAGATGAGCAGCACGCCCACACCAATCTGCAGCGCAAGGGAGATGGTGATGAGGACCACCAGGGGCACGAAGAAGGTGAAGCTTGGGCCCTGCTCTATGACGGCCTTCAGCTGGGAGGCGTTGGCCATCAGCAGCGCGATGTCCAGCATGCTCTCGGCCGCGCTCTTCTTGTTGGCGTAATGGTTCACATTGATGGGCCGGTTCCTGCCCCAGCGGGGTTGGCTGTGGGGACGGAGCAGTCAGCCTGGGCGGGGGCAGGGGTGGGAGTGGGGGGCTGCACACGAGGGCCGGGGTGAAGGGCAGATGAGAAGCCCTGACGAGGCCGCGTGGCCCCTCAGGACGGGCCCTGGGAGCCCCGGTCCTGGAGGACACAGAGCACGGGGTCCCTGCACGTGCTCCAGTTGGGCCAGCGCCGCCCCGCCCCCCCGCCGCCCCCTGCCCTCCCCCTCCAGGCCAGTGGCTGCTGGCCAGGGCAGGAAGTGCCACCAGAGCCCTGTGCGATCTCAGGGCTACAGCTGAGCTTAACTGCTGCTTTAATTTTTATTTTGAAAAACAATTTTCAAGCATTTTATGGAGCCGTGATCGCCACAGAAAAGGCTATACAATTAACTCAGCCACTCGGGGCCTCGGGAGCCCAGGTGCAGACGCGACACCATCCTCCTGCCTCAGTCAGTATTCCTGTTTCTCAGGAGGTGCAGCCCCACAGTGCCGCAGGGGCACGGCTGCTCCTGTGCCCTTCACGCCCTATGCAGGGGGTCACGGCCTTCAGGAAGCCCTCCCTACTGAGGCGCAAGTGCAGGGAAGTAGGAGATGCTCTCCTCCCTCACAAGGCCTCCCTCAGCCCCCAGCCCTGTCCCCTTGTCCGCAGGTGACCCAGAGTTGTCAGCCCATCGCTGGGGCCTCTGGGGGCACTTGGTAGCTCATGTTTCTAAATCATGAAAGATGCAGGCCAGGGAGGTGGCTGTGGGGGCGGGGGGCGGCAAGTGAGAAGCCTCCTCCTCTCCTGCCATTGAGGGAAATCTCCCCTGGAACGCGGAGAGCAGAACGCAGGGGGAGCGGGGGCGGGCGGGGGCTGGCTCTGTGACCCAGAGTAACATGCCCAGGAGGGAGGCAACCAGCCAGCGGACCGTCCCGCCTGCCCCACTGCCTGAGGCCAAGTAGCAAAGCCACTGGGTTTAAACTCCCAGACCTCGGCCCCAGCCTGGCACGGCTTCTGGGATGTTCCACCCACAGCCAAGCCTAGGTCTCTGCTCCACCTCTTGGCAGCGCCTCCAGCTGCACCCCCTGCTAGCTAGGCCACCCCCGCCAGGGCCCAGGCGCTCACCCTGGGGTCTGGGCGTGGACTCCCACCGCCTAGGGGCGGGCACCTCATGGCACCAGGCTGGGCCCCAGCTCGCTCTCCAGAGCTGCCTGGCTGGCCGCACCCTGTCACGTGCGCTCCCGGGGACAGGCATCCCGGAGGCGCTGGGCTGCAAACCACAAGTGCAAAGTGCCTTCCCCAGGGGCCACACGGTGCTTCCCCCGTCCGCGTCCCAGAGAGCCCGGTGCACATGTAGCAGGAGCTCCCACCTTCCAGGGGCAGGGGTGCCAAGTGCACGTGCACACACAGCACATACCCAATTATGTGCACACACACAGCACACACACAAGCACATGCATGCACACAAGCATGTGCGCGCACACACGTATGTGCACAGTACAAGCACGCACGCCTAGGCTCACTGCGCTGGCCTCCAGGGAGGGCAGGGCTTCCCCTTCTGAGTCCTCCTGGACTGCGGGAGTGGGGCAGCCATGCAGTCACATACAGGACAGGCCAGGGACAGGAATGGGGGTCCCCATTCCCTGTGCCCCAGGCACAGTATCCTTCTTGCTCATCCTTCGGCTGAGTGCCCTCCTCTGGGTGCACCCCAGCCGCGTCCTCACACACACCCACTATAGGTAAACTGAGGCTGGCACAGGAAGCGCCTGGTCTGAAGCCAAGCGCGGGCTGTATTGTGAACTCAGGCCCTGGGATCAAGAGCCCCCTGCAGAGGGCGCTGTGCGCCAGGAGGCACCAGTCTTCTGCCGTGCACCCCCAGGAGAGTCAGCGCCCTCCAGCCTCAGTCTCCTGGTGTGCGCGCGGCAGGGCCAGAGCAGCAGTCCCGGGAGCTTCTGGGGACGCCTTGGCCCCAGAGGACCAGCCAGGGCCCTGGCTACACGCACCTCCCGGTGCAGGGCACTTCCTGCCCACGCGGCCATCTGCTTCCTACTCCAGCTGTGCAGTGAGGGGGGGTACCAGGGGGAGCCCTGAGGCCCGCCATGTGGCCTTGACAATGCACTGCCTGCCACGGGCCTCCGGGGCCCCATCTATGTGGCAGGCCACACTCCGGGAAGCCCCACACCCACGGGGGTCCCAACTAATGGGGAGGGAACCCATAGCCCAGGGGAGCTGTCAGGGGCCAGCACAGCCTGGCAGCCACCCCATGGGGAAGGCCTGGGAGCCTGGTGCCATTGCCCGCCTGCGGAGAGCCGGGCTGGGACCTGCCCACATCGCCTCCACCCGCGACCCCAGACCGGAGTAGTGCAGGGAACCAATAGCCAGTTAATGTGTTCCCAGGGCCCAGTGGTGGTCCAGGAGCAGGGGAGGTGGCCAGTGAGCTCAGCATTTCCCCCTAAAAGCCAGGAAGGGGCCTGGGCAGGGGCTGGAAGAGAGCAGGGAGGCCCACCTTCCATGCCCACACACAGAGGGCCTCAGGTCACAAGGCTGGGTGTCCTCAGCTTGGGTGGGGACATTGTTGGCTCTGCTGCACCTACGCACCTGGTTCTGGCCACAGCTGAATGGATGCTCCAGTCCAGGCCAGGTGTGGGTGGGCAGAGATGGGGTGCCCACCAGAGCCCCCTGCTCCCCTGCAGGACCCAGAGCTTTTGGTTCCTGATGCCCTCTCACCTGCCTGCCCTGCCTGCCTCTGACCCCAAACCCCACATAAAAGTGTGGAACGGAACCCCTGCCCAGAGGCAGTTTCCCGTTTTCAGAATGAGAGACCAGTCCCCCACCACATCCATGATGTCCATCTGCCGCCCTGATAGGAGCTAGGGTGGCACTTCCACTGGCCTCTCTAGCATCCCTGAATGCCACACCAGGGTCTGTGCCTCAGTTCCCTCATCTGCAAAACGGGCACATGGGCCTGAATGCAGGCACAGAGGCCCCTGGGTCTGCTGGAGCACCCCCAGCACACAGCCTCCCAATCAAGCTGCACGGATTCACAACAAAAAATCTGTAACAAGAGAAAGGACAAGTTCAGGGGCCCCTGGGTGACTCGCTCTCAAATAAGTAGAATCAAGAAAGAAAGAAAAGAAAGAAAGAAAGAAAGAAAGAGAAAGAAAGAAAGAAAGAAAGAAAGAAAGAAAGAAAGAAAGAAAGGCCAAGCCCAGGACACAACCATGTGAGCCGAGCAGACCCAGGGGCCCTGCGGCTCCAGATCCTAACCCACCCCGGCACCTCTGCGTGTGCGCAGTGAATACCACCAGGAGTGGGGGCCTCAAAGACCTTCCCTCTGGGGAAAGACCTGAGAACCTAGGAGGGTCTGGCAGGGCCTGGGGTGTCCCTCATCTGACCCCCCAGAGTGGGCACGAGCCCACTGCTCAGACATGGCACAGAGGCCAGCCCTGGGAGGTCTCCCATTCCATGTCAGCGTCCAGCAGGAAGTCCTGCTGGGTGGGGGTGGGGGGTGTCCGCAGCAGCTGGGCCATGGGGCTGGGCAGGCCTGCTTCCTGTGTGTTCAACACTGGCCGGCAGTGACCCCGAGGCCACATCAGGGTCACCTTTTAGAACTTGGCCAAGACCCTGCCAGTCTCAAGATCTGCCAGGAAAGCAGAAATTAGGAAAAGTTCAAACTTCCTTCAGCAGCTGAGCTCTGCATGGCCCAGATGTGACCCCCGGAGCCACAGCCCACCTGGTCCTGCTGCCCCCTGCCATGCCTCCACCTGCTGTGACTCCAGGAACCCATCTGGTCCTGCTGCCCCCTGCCGTGCCCTCCACCCACTGTGACCCTTGTCTCCTGTAGTGGCTGAGGCAGTTGTCTCCAAGCCAAGATGCACCAGGGCATGACACAGCCAAGGGCTGTTTCCACAGTAAAATTGATGTTTACTAGTCCTCCTGCCTCCAGCCACAAGTGAGACACCAGCTTCCTCCCTCAGGGAACCCGGCCAGCCTGGCCTATGCGAGGTCATGAGGGCACAGGTGTGTGTGTTTGGGGGGGGGCGCTGCAGGGTTCCCCTGCTCAGGGGTCACATGTAGGGCTCTTCTGGAAGGTGAGCAATCCCACCCCCTTCCCACAAGAGGACACTGTGGCCTGCCACGGGTGTCCTGAGGCAGACCGGCGCTTTTGGCCCAGGCCTCCCAGTCAGTCCCCCCACCACCAGGGGCCCAACAGAGCCCACCTACCCTGCCATCCAGGGTTCCCACTCTGGTTGGTGGATCTGAAGACCCAGCGGCTTGCCCCTCACCCCAGTGAGACTGTCCTCCTGCCCCGACCCTCACACAGATGCCTGGGGCTGGGGCTCAGATTCAAGCAGCAGCCAAGTTCCGCTGGAAGAGAGGGCTGTGCCTGTCCTCAGGGTTTCCTCCGGGAGAGGGTCCTGTGCGGTGGGCAAGGATGTGAATACTGAGTGTCCAGCACACAGTAGCCCACTGGGTCCTCATCACGCTCTCTGAGAAAGGCCCTGCTAACCTCCCACGTCACAGATGAGAAACTGAAGCCCAGAGTCACAGATGAACACACGAGGCAGGTTCTAAAGGTGGGAAGGGCAAGGAGGAGGCTGGAGAGTGGTGTCGGGGGGCTGGGGTGCAGGCCCTAGGCAGGGCGAGCACCAGCCTTGAGGCTGCCCACCCTTCCAGAAGCCTCCCTGCCGGTGAACGGAGACCCCTCCCCTCACATTGGCTCTCGGGAGCTACAGAGGGGCCCGGCCTTACATCACCTGCCTTCTCCCCAGCCCTGACCGCTCGGTGGGCCAGCCTTGGGCCTTTCGCTCGCTGTCCTCTCTGCTGGGACGTCCTTCCCCACACCACAGAGGGCCATGCCCCCCCTCCCCCCCAGGTCCTGCAGCGCCCAGCACCACCCGCTGTCCCCACTGTGCAGGGAGCTGGCTCCACTCCCACCTGCCCATAGGTGGGGTTTTGCACTTAGGTCTTGGCTTCTCCATCTGGGCTGGTCTCCACTCTGAGACATCTGCTCAGTGATAATGGGGTCACATCTTCCCATACTGGTCCCAGAGCCAACCCCTGAGCAATGCCTACCTGACTTCACTGGGCTCCAGATGCAAGGGACCCCGCAGGCAGCAAGGCTGTCCGTCCTATCTGCCAAGGACCAGGAGAGCAGAACAGCTTGGGGCAGAAGGTGCAGGGTCCCTCCCTTCCAACCCACCTGCCCTATTTATTGCCTGCCTTCCCCAAAGGCACGGAAAACTCATTTTTCAGACCACGCGCAGGAGGCCCAGAGAGGTGAGGCAGGCTCCCCAAGCACACACAGCCCACTGTGCCAAAGTGCTTACATGCCAGGGCAGCGCCGCGCCAGGGCCGCCTCCGTCTTTGGTTTCCTTCCCCACCACCAACCCCAGGACAAACGTTCTGTGCCATCCCAGGGTAATCAGGATTTACTGAACGGTCGACAGGGAGGCTGAGCCCCAGGAAGCTTCTGCCAGGGACAGGCAAGGCTGGACAGCAGCAGGGAGGAGGGCCTGCCCCTACCCCGGGCTGGGCGCACCCCGCGGGACCTCCGCCACCGCCGGGCATCGCTGCCGGCCCCTGCTCAGGCCCCGGAGACTGCCACCCCTGCCCCAGGGGGTCAGAAAGTGAAAGAATGTTCAAAGTCAACAAGTTACCGCGCTGGGCCCAGGGAAGACGGCACCGGGAGCCCCGATGGACCCCGGGGCGGGGGGAGGCCCCTCCAAGGTGGGGGTGGGCCCGCCTCAGGCCCACGGCCCTCCTGGGCCAGCAGGGTCTGTGCACAGGCTTCAGGGGGGGCCCTGGGGGCACGCACCCCATAGTGCGGCGGCGGTGGACACGGCGGGTGACGTAAGCGTCTGCCCGGGGCTGGCCCGGGGCCCAGAGGCTGGGATCCTGCGCGCCGGGGCAGGAGCGGGAGGAGACGCGGGGGCCCAAGTTAGAGGCCGGCGCGGGAGGCGCGGGAGGCGCGGGAAGGCGGCGCCAGCGCCCCTGGGCCACGCAGCTCGGCGTGGGCACCTCCCGGCCCGCCCCTCGTCCCTGCACCCGAGGCCGCTGCCCCGGGGCCACCTGTCGGGCCCCGCGGCGCGGGGCGCACAGGGCGCACGGGGCGCAGCGACCCCGGCACCTCGCAGTGCGGAAGCGGCGCGCTCCCGGTCGGCCGGCGCCCCCGGTGCCCGGGGAGCAGCGCGCGGCGCCCAGAGAGGGCAGGCGCCGGCCCGGATCGCACAGCGGCGCGGGCTTACCGAGACCTCCGGGGAGCCGGGCGAGCCCGGGCGCAGGTCGCCGTTGAGCTCGTACTCCTCGGGGCGCGACTCCATGGTGCGGCCGGCGGAGCCGCCTCGCTCGGGGCCAGAGCGCCGCTCGCGCCTGGGCGGGGGGCACCCGGCTGCGCCCCCGCCCCGCCCCCGCCCCGCCCCGGCCCCGCCCCCGCCCCGCCCCCGGTCCCGCCCCGACTCCGTCCCCGGCCGGGCGGGTCCGCGGGGCCGGGAGGGCTCCTTCCTGTCCCGCGAGGACGGCCCGGTTCCCCCAGGCCTCGGCCTCGCGCGGGCGGCTGCACGTCCGGCTCTGCCCCCGTCGTGGACACTTTTAGCCCTGACAAGAGGCCAAGAGCCAGCGTTTCCGGGGCCGCTTGGCTAACTGCTGAGCGCGCCAGGACGGCGAGGCGCCGCCACGCCCGGCCCGGCCCCGCCCGCCCCTGCGCCCCCTGACCCCCGGCCGCCGCGCGGCCGGCAGGTGCGGGAGGCAGAGGGCCCCCGCCCCGTCGGCGCAGCCCCGGGGGCCCGGTGCCCGGATGGCGCCCCGTGCCCGGGCGGGGGCAGGAGGGGCAGGGCGTTACTCCCGGGCTAGCGTCCTCCGGTCCTGACCCTGAGCCCGCGGCCTTCCCGCTTGTCGCACCGCGAGCATCGTGTCCACCGACGTCCACACCGAAGCGCCCCTCGTGTGCAGTGAGCACAGCCACTAGCGGGCCGGGGCAGCCAAGCTTCCTCCCACCGCCGGTAGGGCCCGGCTGCGGCTCGGTAACCCTGGCCCCGGCAGCTGCGTGGGCTGGGGCAGTGGCCAGGCCTCTCTGTGTCAGCTTCCATCTGTGAGGGGCGGTGGTCCTCTCAGGCCCTGGGGGCTGATCTGACATCCAAGAAGGTAAGTGGCGCCCCCACCCCCGGGGCCAGAAAGCAGCAAGTTAGGTCACTGAGCTGGAGGCTTGTTCATTGGCCCTGAGCATCATGGAATCCAGTATGCCAGGTGGTGTTCTAGACATGGGGTGGGGTGGAGGCGGTGGGGAGGAGGTGGAGGGCGTGGCGGGGGGCTGCAGCCACAGCTGGAGGAGAGGCTGCCTGGGGCCCTGGGGAAGGGGCCTCTGCCCCTCAGCACAGCCAGGCCCAGGAGGGCCAACCCAGCACCCAGCTGGACGCTCCCCGGGTCTGTAGGGCCTGCCCCAGAGCCCCGTGGGTGACAGCCCAGCGCCTGCCCTGCCCAGGGTCCTGGCCCACTCCAGGCTGAGACCTCCCCTGACCCCCCCCTCCCCTGCCTCACCCCTGCTGGGAGAGCCCCATTACAAGTGAAACCAAAAGCCTGGAAAATGCAAGTCACCCAGGGGATTTATCAGAAAAAGGGATCTTCCACTAAACGGGGTCTGGGCCTTCCTGCTGACTCTTTTCTCCTCTCTGGGGGGGAGCAGCAGGGCCCGCTGGGGGGGGTGGCACTGCAGGGGGGCGGCACTTCAGGGCAGCTGTCCCAGGGCATGCCAGTCCCTGGAGCGGGCTCCCACCCAGTTGGAGGCTGAGGGCACAGAAGCTCAGAGAAGTGGTCAGTGCCTCTGTCCGGCTTCAGGGGCCTGAGAGCTGGCGAGTGTGGGCAGGACCCGTAGTGCCCTGGGTCTGGGCAGGTGTGGGGTGTGGCGCCCGGCAGGCACCCCTCTGTTCTCTGAGAGCCCACACCTGACTGCTGAGAGCAGCTGGAAACCCAGATTTTTCTTTCCTGCGGAGCATTCCCCCTCCTGCCCCAGGGTTGTGCTGGCTCCTGGAGGGAGGGTCCTGAGGGGGCAGGGGAGGCTGGAGGCTGGCAGGTGGTGAGGAGGGCAGGTGAGAAGGCCTTGGGGGGCTAGTGGGGCTGCGGCGTGACAGCTGGGGAGCCCTGGGCCTCAAAGCCCACGTTCCTTGCTCCATCCGGGAGGAGGGCAGGAAAGATGCTTCTATAATGATTCAGCCTTTACACTTGGGTTTGTGAGTATCACCGCCCCCCCTCACCTTTCACCTTCCAGGGGTCAAGGTCACAGGCAGCCCTTGAAGCAGGGGCTGCCCTCTGGTCTGCCTGCCCCCACCCCCACCCCCAAGTCCTCAGGGAGGGACTCCTGGGCTCCTTGTATCATCCTCATTTGCCCAGGAAGTGTGTGTTCCCTGACTTCCCAGTGCAGCCAAGAAGGGCGAGGCCTCCTGCCTGTCTCCCCCCAATGCCCCCCCAACCCCCGCCTGCCCCTACCCTACCTGGTTCCAAATCCTCTGCAGAGATGGGCATGGGCATCCAAGGTGAGTTCAGGATGCAGCGCTGCTGTGAGGGTCAGTGGACAAGTGATAATGGGGAGTGTCCCCAGAGAGGGGGCGGGAAGGGCTAGCTGTGCTCCAGTGCAGACGCAGGTTGGTGCCTCACACGTGCAGACACACCTGCACTGGCATGACAGAGTTCACCTGTCTCCCCAGAGCTGCGTGACCAGGGACACCCTTCCTGTTTGACAAGTGGGGACGCTGTGGGAATTTAGCACCAAGGCCCGCGTCCAGCACATGAGGGCTGCAGAGCTTTGTGGGCCTCCGTGCCTGGAGCAGGCCCCGGAGGTGGCAACTCCCCTGGGAGGGGACAGCACCATGCCCTAGGTGGGCATAAACCCAGACGCGACCCACCCGCGTTACCACGGGGAGAGCACGACGTGTCACCTCAGGCCCAGGCCCACATGTGCACAGACAGGCCGTGTTTCCTGAACAGGGTCTTAGGAAGTGTCGGGGTCTCTGGCCCTCAGTCTGTGTGGCGTGGACCCCAACAGGTGGAGGAAGGGGCCACCATGGGAAGGTGGCATGCCAGGCCCCATGCTCTGCTGCATGTCCCTAAGGTCAGGGGAAGGAAGCCAGACTAGGAGCAGGTGTGGAGCTGCCCTCCACTGTAGAGACAGGGGACGTGAGCCTGGGTCACATGGGCATGGCTGGGTCAAGGGTGCTCCCGGGCCTGGGGGTGTGAAATGGGCACCCATGCACGGGTCTGCACCATCTCCCATGGTGCCCCAGCGAGATGTGACCTGCCAGGCCCAGGCGGTGAGAGGCAGCAAGCCCCAGAAGCAGAGACACTGAGTCATGGCGTAAAGCTGGCCCAGACAGTGTGACAAGTGGCTTCCTCTCTGGAGCAGGGGCAGCCAGGGCAAAGGTGGCAGGGTCAGCGGTCACCCCACTGTGAGTTCTTCCCTTCTCCCCTGTCCATTTTCAGCTCAGCACATGGCTTCCCAGAAGAGAAGCTGCGTGTCCCCGGCTCTCCTGCCACGAGAGGCCCGTGTGGCTTCATTCTGGTGATGGGAGGGGGTGTGCAATGTCTGGGAGGGGACCTGAACACAGAGGGGGTACGGTTTTTTATTACTTCCCTCTCCCCCCATGGTCTGGGGGATGGAACACAGATGTAATAGCTGGGGCACCAGCAGCCACCCTGGCCCATGAGGGGAACTTGGGCCTGGGAGTCTAACGCAGCAGACCTAAGACAGAAGCAGCTGGCATCCTCAGTGCTTGGCACCAGGCCTTCCCTGTGCTGCACACCTCAAGACTTCTTGAGTGCAAATAATAAAAAAAAAATCTATCTTGTTTTGAGGATTCCATAATTTTGGGGGGTCTGTGATACAGCTGATTTCGATTATTATTTTTTAATGTGTTATGTTTTTCATTAATAAATAGATTTTCTTTTTTATTTATTTATTTTATTTTATTTCAGACATAGAGAGAGAGGCAGAGACACAGGAGGAGGGAGAAGCAGGCTCCATGCAGGGAGCCTGACGTGGGACTCGATCCCGGGACTCCAGGATTGCGCCCTGGGCCAAAGGGAGGCGCTAAACCGCTGAGCCACCCAGGGATCCCCCAGATTTTCTTTTTTAAACACAAACCGTATAACAGATTGAATCACTTCTCCCTCCCATCTTAGTTTGGAAATGTGTATCAGATTACGTCATTGGCCAGTTTAAATCCCTCTGAAGTCTTCCTGAAAAAAATCCTTGCTCTTGGACCCTGAACACCTGAGACCCTGAACCCTCCCCTCCCTTCAGCCACCCCTCTGCCCTTCCCATTCCTTGGACTCTATACCTCAGGGCCTTTGCACTCCCTGCTTACCCCATCTGAAGATCCTGCCCCCAGGCCTCCACGTGGTGGCTCCTTCCATCACCTGATCACAGACTTCTGCAGTGGCCCTGGGCCCCTCTCACCCCACCCCATGCCCTGGGCAGCTCCTGAAAGCACCGTGTTTACATATGCGTGTGTCCTCGTGGGCCCCCTCCCTCACAAACACAAGGCCCCGTCCCTGCTGACCCTCAGCCTACTCCCTGTGCTGCCGGGGCATGCCCTAGCCCAGTCTGCTTTGTGCAGCCTCCAGGCACCCCATAGCCCTACTGGCTGCATCTCGTCCTGCAGGTGCTCCGCAGACCACTAATGACGGGTGGTGGGCTTTGCGGTCCTGGCCCTGACGTCGCTTGCTGACTCACAGCCACGCAAGTGATCGTGGGCATGCGGACGGCTGTCTGGAGTCCCGGGCAGGTGGCCTGTGTGGTTTGGCAAAGAGACACCGCTGGCAGCTCTGGCATAGTCTGGGTTCCTCCTACTGCTTCTGAAAGGCTGCTGGCCAGTCCAGGGAGCCACCGGGAGGAAGGCCTGACTGCAGGCCAAGGGGAGGCCCTCTGGGCCACAGTGGCTGCGGGACCGTAGGGCCCACATGCTCCAGGCCTGCAGCCTCCTTCCCTGCCTCCCCCTGCCCAGGGCCCGAGACCCCTCATTCTCCAACTCTGGGGGCCACCTCCTCCAGGAAGACTCTGGATACCCCGATCCACCCTGCACACCCAGGTCTCTCCCTGCCCCTCCCAGGGACATCCCCACCCCCTCTGCACACACATGGAAGCTCCTGGTGGCTTCCAGGTTGTTTCCTGCTTTGGGGTCCAGGATCCTGCAGGTTCTGACCACATAGAGACACCACTACCATGAGCCCCGGGATGTAACTGTCAGGAGTTGCTCAGGGCCTGCGCTGGGGCCTCAGTGAGCAGAACCTGTGCTCCCAGAAGGGAGATTTGTCCCCAGGTGTCCTAAGCCCACTCTATCTGCCCCAGCTGCTGGGGCCTTTCCTCCGGTGCCTCAGACCCCATGCTGGGGGGTGTATTTGGACC